CCATGAATGTTTTGATGTGTCTACTCAGCTTAATTTTTTAAAGCAAACTTAAACAAACAAAACTGCTCTTGGGATGAGAGAAGAGAATATTTTTCAGTGGCATCGCATGGGACAGCCCATTAGTGCCACAGACAGCTTCCGACCCGTAATATGAATTTTCAGAACTGTTCCTCCTTTCCCCTTGCCCATAAGCTTGACCGCGGAAGAGCAAGGTATGTTTGTACTAAACACGCCAAATGCCCTCTCAGAAAAGCCCTATTGTTCTAAAATTTCGTGGCATTCTTCACCTTTGGGTGACCAGATGCCAATTAGGGCATGGCTGCTGTGTCTTCAACAGTTGTGTAGAAAAGGATGTTTTTGTCACATTTTCCTGGCAACTACAGTTTGTGGTTTGGATAGAAAATGCAACTTCAGAAGTGCAATTGATTGTGGTAGTGGTCGGCATTAATATATTCCCCCTAGACAAAGGATTAGAAGAATGAAGTGGTTTGCTGAAGAAGAGCAACCTCTGAGCAGATGGCTCTAGCCAATCCAAGTTTCCCTTCAAGGACCCAAGACTTGTGGAAATAATTAATTAAAATGGCACGCATACACAAGTGAGTTCCCCAATGACTTTTGAGAGAGAGTATCCACCCTTTTTTGACTGAGCTATGCTTGTATAGAGGAACAGGCTTCAAGAGTCCTGTGGACTCCTGGGAAGTCTCTGTAGCCACGTGTCAAGCACACATGGTGCTTCCTTGGATTCTGAATGGGAGGGTGCATAGCTGAGACCTCGTTTGACACAGCTTGTTGTTCTCAATGAGTACAAAGTTTCATTTTTCTGGTTTGGGAAGCCCTGCCAAGTGGTTGGCTAAGTGCAACATTATTATTATTATTATTTTTACATTCCCTTCCCTTCCCTGCCCCCCCACCCCATTCTGGTCTCTGTGTCATGGAGCTGGAGTTACGTCCAAGCTGGTGGTGCTTAAAGTTCTATCTGCATAACTACTCACCTCAAGTCACTCACTTTTTTTGGGTACATTAATATTTACTGAATTTTATAACAAATAATGATACAAATCTCATTCATCATGTTATTTACAATTATTCTCCCTCCCCTCCTCTGGACTTCCTTCAGCTCCCCCTCTGCTGAGTTATTTAGTTTTATTTATTGTATTCTGCTTTTCCTACACAAAAATAAAATCCCTTATCATTTCTCTGAAATATCTGTTACTCAAATGAAATTGTGAACGTTTGTTCAAATCCTGCCAGTGAATCCAGTCCCTTTTGTTGTTTCTGAAAATAAACCGTAGATGGTTCCCAGACTCTTTTGAAATCCTTTTTCCCTTTCTCTCATGTTTATCTCTTAGCTTAGCCAATTCTGCATAGTTCATCAATTTTTCTTCCTATTGTTCCTTTGATGGTATTTCTTCCGTCTTCCAATATTGTGCAATCAAGATTCTTGCCGCTGTTGTAGCATAAATAAATAATGTCCATTTTTCTTTTGGTAGCTGTTGATTTGAGATACCTAACAAAAAGGCTTCAGGGTGTTTCTCCAACATCTGTTATTTTCTTTCCTAAACATCTTTGCCATTTTCACTGGTGTGATATACCAGCTATACATCATTTTCATGTAATTCTCTCTTAATAGTATGCAATCTGTGAATTTTATATCAACTTTCCACAATTTCCCCCAACTTTCAAACTGAATGTTGTGTCCCACATCCTGAGCCCATTTAATCATAACTGATTTAACCTCTTCATCTTTGGTTTCCCACTCTAATAAAATACTATATGCTTTTTTTAACACCTGAAGTCACTCACTTTTAACACCTGAAGTCAGTCATGCGGAGAACCCCATGGGTTGAAAGTACAAAGTTGTTGGTTATTCTTGTGTGTAATTTGGTATTTGTGGTTTTTTTCTTTTTTCTTATTGTATAAATAAAAAACTTTATTTTTTAAAAAATAAAGTACAAAGTTGTCAGTGCCTGTCTGTTAAGGCTTCATAAGACTCTTCCTCCCCCCCCCCCCATTTTTGCTGCAACATACTGACATCGCTGCAGCTCTGGAAATAATTTTTAAATTTGTATAGTACCTTTCTACATCACTCTTTGCCAATTCTATGAGCTGTAACCTGCCCTGAAAATCTACCCAATATACAGTGCTGTTAAATTGAAGGATTTATGCGGACTTTTAATTGGAAATAAAGTAGCCACTTGTCTCGCCTTAGAAACATACATTAAGAAGGCAGAAGGAAGATGTGAGAAGCCGAGAGAGAAAAATTAAAAGCAGCTTCATAGAATAGATTCCAGGAAACAACCATAACAAGATGCTTATGCCTCGAAATTCAAAGGGAATATAAAAAAACCTGGAGCTCATCTTAAGACTGGATAACTCATTGACTTCAGGAAGAGTTACAAACTGGTAATTCATCTGGTTTTGTGACTGGTTCATTGATGCGCCATGAAGTATAAATTAAAGCAATGATATTACTATCAGCCCACATGCTGAGGGGATTTCACTCCAGTACATGTTATGCATGTGGCCGAGTATCATAGAATCATAGTAGAGCTGTAGTAGAGCTGAAAAAGACCCCAAGTGTCATCTAGTCCAACCCAGTCCAGCTAGTGTACTTCTCTAAACAGAACCCAGACATGGGAGATGGCTGCTGAAGACACAGCCCAAGCACTTAGGGCAATTTCATCAATTTTTCTAAACTACACCAACTTCATATAAAGAAAGCTGCATAAAGATGGCAGCTCACTGGTACTGGACCCCATGGAAATGCAAACAAATCAGTAAGGCAGGTGTTGGAAAGGGCTGGCTATGTTGAGAAACCACATGGAAGCTTCATGCTCCGGCACAGGGGGCCGAGAGCAGGTGGGGCAGGGCTGGCGCACGTCCCAGGGGCGTGGTCCGTGCCCTGGGGGCGTGGCATGCCACCCACAGGGGCATGGCACACCACCCGCAGGGGCATGGCACCCAGCGCAAGCGGGGGGGCAGCTGCAATGGCACCCCACTGGGATCGTGCTGCCAGGGGCAGTGCACTCGCCCCGCACGCCTCTTCCTCCGCCACTGGGTGGGTATGCTCTAAAATGCAGGGGGATTCTGGAAAACGGTGCTGGAGATGGTGGGTGATACATTTAACATCCAGGTAACTCTTATTGGCCATTTGTTAGGCTTATTAAATTGTACACAGGTCCAAGGGAGTGGGGTGAAAAACCCCCACCAGACAGAGATTTTACATATTATGACCATATCCAGGATACTCTACGGCAAAACGTTAAAACATTATAATGAGCCAAAGAAGCTGGATGTGCTTAGGAACATCTGGGAACAATTGGAAATGATTAATCTAACTGCAATGCTGCAGTTAGTTAATTAAACAGTGATTAATTGAAAATCCACAACAACCCCTCCTTGCACCACACTTCCTGCCCTAACCATCCAGAGTCGATGCGGAGGGAGAGGTAGGGAGGGGAAGTGCTGTGGCACAAAAGTCGTCCTACCCTTGTAGTGACTTTGTTGGATTCTGCCCAAAGTGAGGTATGAACAGTTGCAGGAAACTCCCTTTCCCCTTTGTTTTGTTTATTAATAGGCAGGCCCCAGCCCTATGCCCAAAGCCTCTCATTTGTTCCCACAGCCGTGTCCCATCAATCTAGCAATCTAACACTTGAATATATGACCTTTCCTTTCCCATCCACCAAAGAGAGGCCCCCAAAGAGGTCTAAACAGCATGTCACCCGAGAGAAGAAATACAACAGATTGACTGAGCCTCATGCCAAGGGTTTAATTTGTAAACAGAAAGTTGTTGCATGTTGAGAGACCTGTGTGCAAATGACATCCACATACTGGAAAACTGTGTTTTCATTCCAAAGGGTTGGGAGCTCACTGTGGCTACTGGATGGTGCTTGTGGGGTGGAGAGCTATTTGCACTGTATTTTGAAAGAAGAGGATGGTTTTTGCAAGGTTTATATAATAGAAAGTTGATCAAATATATTCAGTAGTTAAATGGAAAGGGGAAACATTGTCTTTCATTAAGCGTTGCAATGGATGTTGCAGAAAGAAACACTCAAACCTGGAAATTTGTCCTTTGATGGATGTTGTGCACGCTGAGAGAATCACTTTCTATGAATGGAGAATGGGGCATTATATATTATAAAAGTAAACAGACCTGCCTGGTGCTTGCAGCAACTTAAGCTGATGAGTGGTTTATTACCAAAAAAGACTAACTGTGAACTGATTATGGGAGAGTGCTCTAGTCCATAACTATGCATAAAATAATATGGAAAATGTCCTATTTTCCATAATAAAGTATTTTGACTCTGTTACCTGAAAATATGAATGAAGGCAGCATGATGAAGACAGGCACAGTTTTCCAGTGTAGGTCTGGCAACAGAAGGGCAGTTATCTGTTATATATATAATTAACCCAGAAATAGAGTGACCTGTATTCAGGAAAGAGATGCTTGTGGGACAACTCTGATATAGCAACTTCTGAATCTCAGTTTTGGAAACAAAGGCCAGATTTGACAAATACCTTTTAAAGAAATCTGTGAGGATGAATTTGCATTGCAATTCTATGATATTCTAAATATAGAAAATGGAATGTGTTGAAGTCACTTGTCTTGGGGATTCCTACTACAAGCTCAGTTTGGGTATTCTGGTATCACCCTTCTCAGCTGTTCCACTTTCCACATTGTTTTGCCCTTGTCTCTGCTTTAAATGGATACTGCTCCCCTCTTCTCATTCCTTTTGCGTTGTTCAGCTGATGGAAAGAGAACAGATTTGTAACTTCTGTCTACAGCTGGGAAAACTTCAGCTAAGTCCTATTCATAGGGTCTGACATTGGGTATCACCCCTAGAGAGAATAGTACCAATACGATTAGCTACTCTGTTACCTGTCAGGTTTAGAATTTGGGGAATGGGTATTAGGCTTAGGGACCTAGCAGGGGAGCAGTTATGGCAAATGTCCCTGCAGAATTCAGAGTTGTACTTAAGATAATAAAAACAAAAAAATTCCTTCCAGTAGCACCTTAGAGACCAACTAAGTTGTGTGCATGCACACGAAAGCTCATACCAATAACTAACTTAGTTGGTCTCTAAGGTGCTACTGGAAGGAATTTTTTTATTTTGTTTTGACTACAGCAGACCAACACGGCTACCTACCTGTAACTAAGATAATAAAGTTCAACATATGGCAAGTGTTTGCAGTACCCTAGAGTTTATGACACAATCCCCCAGGAATTTCTTCCGCATACAGTCATACCTCAGGTTGAATATGCTTTGAGTTGAGCGTGTTTGAGTTGTGCTCTGCGGCAACCCAGAAATAACGGAGTGCGTTACTTCCGGGTTTCGCCGCTTGCGCATGCGCAGATGCTCAAAATGACATCACGCGCATGCGCAGAAGCGTGCGCAGACATGCCATCGCTAGTTACATTTGCTTCTAGATGTGAACTGGGTTCCAGAACGGATCCCGTTCGTATCTAGAGGTACCACTGTATACCCAATTGAAATGAAAAGTGAGCTGGGCCAAAGAACTAGTGTTCTTGTGTTGCTCCCATTTGTTACAAAGGGGGTGCAAAGGGAATTTTGTTTCAAACATCAGTTTCAAAATGGGATCTTTTGCTTTGCCTTGTCTTAAGGGAAATTTGATGCCCTATGGGTACTATTTACATCTTTGAAAAACCTATCTTTCCAACATCTAACCAAACACATCCAAAGCAAAAACTAGTGACCGTTATAGCAATCTAAGTTTCTGGCTCTAATTATGCTGAACCTTCTTAGTTTTTTCTCCACCATTATGATGTGTATGGGATGGCTTTATTTTGTGCAGGATGCTTGTTTTATTTCTAGATTTCAACCATTAGAACCTCATGCTCTCAAAAGATTTTTTTTTTAAACTACAAAAGTCTTTAATCATATATCAAAAAGCAACCAATCTAAATTTATAAATGATGAAAGAGAGAAGAAATGCCACCCATCTCAAAATACTTTAGAAGCTGCTATCACAGTAGAATTGCATGTGGTAACAATATTTCTTTCTGTCTGATTACAAAAAGGGCCTTTTTATCCATGTCACAGAGCATATGAAATTAATCATTAATCTCAGAATTAAATGCGCATGAACAGAAAAGCTTACTGTTAGTCCATTAAAATAAAACAGATTCAGGAAAGTACCAAATACAAAGTATTTGCTTATGTCAAGCTTTACAACTATTTACAAGGCAGATAATTTCCAAGCACTATCTGCAAATTATTGTCATCAGCTAATTTCCAGACTGGATACAATTGATCTAAAAGTAAGTAAGTAAAGTAGGTAAATCTTTATTTATACCCTGCCCTCCCCAGCCAAGACCAGACTCAGGGCAGTTAATATCAAATACATTAAAACACAATCAAACAATTGATTAAAATAAAGCTTAAAAATTAGAATCAGGATAAAATTAAATGACTGCCCACGAATTGCAACCAGTTGATGTTGATCCAATTAATAGGTGTAAGCTCTATTTGGGTGTTATTTTTTGCTATGTACAAAGGGCCAAGGAGCAGGACTGTCCCTTCAGCAAAACCCACATATTCAGCATTAACGTCTATAGAGAGGGGGCCCTTCATGCTTATGGTTATATGCACAAAAGTTTCCTTGGGATCGGTAACCCTGAAGAATCCCAGAGAAGTTCTAGATCCCAGAGAAGTTTTCACATGTCCCCCCATACACACCAAGGTCACCTCCCTTCAGATATTCATGTTGCAGATGCCGGTGTCAGGTGGGGCTACTTTGCACAACCCCACTCTTTCCTCCCATGTTCATGTACACAGAAAGAAGTAATATTTTACAGGGTTATAGTCGCCCTTGGTATGCACACTAATATGTGTTCCTTGTGGTGATTTTTTTTTAAAAAGCTCTGTAAAAACCTGTAAACAAAGGTAGAGGCATACCTAGGCTCTCTTGTGCCCTTGGCAAGGAAAATGCGTGGGCTCCTTGCCACTCCGAGCCAGAGTGAAGAGGCACAATTTTTGTGCCCTCCTGGGCCTGTGCCCTTGGTGGGAGCTAGAGTTGCTAGATTGTAATGAAGAAGACGCCTGCTTCTTGGGAGAAAAGCAATGACAAACCTAGACAGCATCTTAAAAAGCAGAGACATCACCTTGCCAACAAAGGTCCGTATAGTTAAAGCTATGGTTTTCCCAGTAGTGATGTACGGAAGTGAGAGCTGGACCATAAAGAAGGCTGATCGCCGAAGAATTGATGCTTTTGAATTATGGTGCTGGAGGAGACTCTTGAGAGTCCCATGGACTGCAAGAAGATCAAACGTATCCATTCTTCAGGAAATCAGCCCTAAGGAAATCAGCTCACTGGAAGGACAGATCCTGAAGCTGAGACTCCAATACTTTGGCCACCTCATGAGAAGAGAAGACTCCCTGGAAAAGACCCTGATGTTGGGAAAGATTGAGGGCACAAGGAGAAGGGGACGACAGAGGACGAGATGGTTGGACGGTGTTCTCGAAGCTACAAACATGAGTCTGACCAAACTGTGGGAGGCAGTGGAAGACAGGAGTGCCTGGAGTGCTCTGGTCCATGGGGTCACGAAGAGGCGGACACAACTAAACGACTAAACAACAACAACAACAACAACAACAACAACGCAGAAATTCCTCCTGAATTTAAATTTGCTGCTGAGTTGGGTAGATGAGGCATCTAGGCTTTCCTTTTTCCATTCACCTTTAATTTATTGTTTTTATCTGCTACTTCCCCTACAGTAGTATGGCACACTTGGAGTCTGGTTTTTCTTCTTCTTCTTCTTCTTCTTCTTCTTCTTCTTCTTCTTCTTCTTCTTCTTCTTCTTCTTTCTCTTCCTCTTCCTCTTCTTTAATTAAAGAATTCTTGGTTTACAAAAGGATGTGCAATGTCCTTGGCATGAAAGAGGAAGGACAATAGGATTCAGAAACAAAAGCAGATGCTTCCTCGACTTCCTATTAAGAGGCAACGTTAAAGATACAGGGCCAGGGATAGTCTCCATGCAATAATTCCAAGAACTGGTGAGAGGCTCTTCTAGTAAGTGCATTAAAGCAGACAGAGCCTGTAGTCAGGTTTCTCAGAACAAGCCTTTGGGCATCCATGGCTCCATTTTTCAGTTGAGAATCTGAAGTTTAATACTGTAATGGCGACTTGCCATGAAGATGGCTTCATGTCTGAGTCAAAATGTCACAGACATCAGAGAATGACCTATTTACTTTGAGCGATGCCTTTGCACTTTGAGTGATGCATCTGCACATTCAGCATTCTTTATGCCTGTACATTTGCTGATATTGCCTTAATAACTAGAAATAATGGGAAGCATGAACTTTGCACTATTCATTAGCATGGTGCTGAGGAAATCTGGGCTGTTGCTTTCTGATATATTCAAGGTTATGGGTGTGACCCAATGGTTAAATATTATTTAATATATTTTTAACTTGCCTTTTGACCCAAATACAAAAGTGGCTTACAAAAACTAAAATCGTTGTGTTGCAGGGGTATACTGTTGTCACAACAGAAAAGGCCACAGTTTTTTGTTGTTGTCTTCTCTGCTGCAAATAAGGAAACATTAATCCCTGAACACATGGAGATGGGAATCACTGCTTCTAGGGCATTTAATACTACACCACTTCAGCTATTAGGAACAACTGTTAAAAGTCAAGGAAACAAAGCACTTACTTGGCTATATTGATAACTTTCCTGTTGTTGTTGTTGTTGTTGTTTAGTTGTTTAGTTGTGTCCGACTCTTCGTGACCCCATGGACCAGAGCACACCAGGCACTCCTGTCTTCCACTGCCTCCCGCAGTTTGGTCAAACTCATGCTGGTAGCTTCGAGAACACTATCCAACCATCTCGTCCTCTGTCGTCCCCTTCTCCTTGTGCCCTCCATCTTTCCCAACATCAGGGTCTTTTCCAGGGAGTCTTCTCTTCTCATGAGGTGGCCAAAGTATTGGAGCCTCAGCTTCACAATCTGTCCTTCCAGTGACCACTCAGGGCTGATTTCCTTAAGAATGGATTGGTTTGATCTTCTTGCAGTCCATGGGACATACGGTACTTTCCTAGTGGCTCTCAAAGAGAGAGCCATATGAAACTCAGATAAATTTGGAGAAAGAAAATTGGTTGTTTTTAGAAAAATGTTATTCCTTTTAAAATTTATGCTGTTAAATATTTCAGAACCATTGTTTTATTTTCTGATTGTCTCAAGCTTGAGAGACTGCTAGGACATCACATTAATACACATGTGTGCATTAGTTCACTGAGCTGTTAAGTGGGCAAGCTGTTTCATTAATTTCAATGGAAGGAGTAGATCCATGTGTGCAAAATTATAATAATAAGCTAATCACCTCTCCCCATTGTGAACATAACAGTGGAATATGTGCACCAGGATGCCCATGCCTATGAAAAGCTTGCTTACAAATTTATATATAAATAAAATGTTTTTGTGGGATTAAAAATAATAATATTACAGTCCATTCTCATCGCTCCCCCCCTTCATCCCGATCCTATGCAGAACCAGGCATATTGAACCATGTGCTAAGATGTGCCGTACTCTATGCAGGATTGGACTGTTGTTGCTATGCTATAAATTGTGACATTTGCACAGAACTAAAAAAATGCACACCCAACCTTTCTTATGCAGCGGCGTAGCGTGGGTTGTCAGCACCCGGGGCAAGGCAAGTAATTTGCGCCCCCTAACCCGGGGCAAGGCGAGTAATTTGCGCCCCCTAACCCCTAACCTGCCGCCGCTGCCAGCTTCTTCTTGCTGCTGCCTGGTCTGGTCTGGTGTGGTTCTCTCCCGCGCTCAGCGCTGCGCTGGGCGGCCGCTGCACTTTTCTCCCCCAGATAGTCCCTCGCTCTCTCTCCGCACCGCACGCCTGGCACCCATCCCCTCCACAGTGGGCGGCGACCCAGCGGCTCGGATCGGATTCGCACAGCCAGCACTGCAGTGAGAGAGAGTGAGTGAGCCAGGTAGGGGCAGAGAGCTGCGAGTGCGAGCGCCCCCCCCCCAGATGTTGCGCCCGGTGCGGCTGGCCCCCCCTGCACCCCCCACGCTAACGCCACTGTTCTTATGACAATAGAAAATGAGAGGCATTGTCCACTGACTTAACCCTCTTGGGGAATTAATGGGTGGAACCATTTAATTATGTTTGGAACTCCCAAACCAAGTTCATTTGAATGAACAACGAAGAGTCATGATATCACAACTGTATTCAACTTATCACTTTAAATGGGATTACTTTGGAAATGTCCCTGATCATTGACATTTGAGAGATTCCTTCTTTTATCAGAGCTTTCGATGGTCTGATTAACCTAAGCAACCTAACTATATGTAGCATTATGAGTACAAGCCAGCCAAAATTAAGCATTTTGAAGAGTTAAGCATATGCATACATCTCTCCCACTGAGATCAATGGGGCTTCAATGGGTGAATTGTGCCTTTTACACACACACACACACACACACACACACACACACACACACACTTTTTGCCTTAGTAAAAGACTGCATGAAATTCCTGATTTCACTTTAATATTGTTGCTTGCCCAATGAAAGAGAGCATCTATTTCGGGCTTCATGGGATTTTTCCAGCAACAACTATCTGAAACGGAATAAAGATAGATGGCGCAATCTGACAAAATTTAGCTCTTATTTGTGGGGCATTGTCACACATGAGGCTTAAAGCAATTCTTGTTTCAATCAGTAAGGAAAATGTAACAAACAGGCATCTAACTATTCTCAAGTTACAGGTGACATCCATCTCTTGGCAAGCCACCCCTCAGATGCATTACAGTCAAAACACAGAAATGTTTAACCCAGCCTTGATTGATAGCAGCCAGAGTCTTCTAGAATTCAAGCTGTTTTATTCACATATTTAGCAAAGGCCTTCTTTTGGCGTTGGAAACGTCATTTGTATTATATCCCAAAGAAAGTTGCTAGATCAAAGCATTGGCTAAGATGTTCCATTCTGAACTTTAATTGCTGTTAAGTAGGAAATATATTTTATGACTGTAAGCTGACTTTGCACTGGGTGCAATGACCAAGCACTCCTTGGCTCTTCAGCACATGATGAATGTAAGGGAATATTTATTTTATTTCTCTATCTCTCTGTCTCTTTACAAAATCCTGTCCTTCCTCCAAGGAATCCAGGACAGGATTCACTCTCATTTCGTTGACTTAATAAGGAATGACTAAGTGGATTATTGTATGAATGTTCATTTAATTTTTTTTAAATAAAAAATTATCAACTTCTTGTTTTTATTATGCATTTTGTGTTTTGATCTTGTATTTTTACGCTGTGAACTACCCTGAGATCTTTGGATGAAGTGCAGTATATATACAAACCTAATAAATTTAATTAAATTGAGGAAGTTCTATACGGTTCTTCATCTGAGGATCTCAGGGTGGTTTACAATACAAAAACAAAAATACACAATATAGTAACAAATGAAAACAATACACACACACCCAGTTGTTTTTTTAAAGGGAAGAGTAAAGGAAATCTGACAGCCCAACCAGTGTTTGATTCTCTAGTAATTGTGTCTGATGTCTAAGTTGCACTCTTACACTGCAGCTCAGGAATTAGCTGTCATTTGTCTATTTTCGTTTGAAGACAAAAGAACCAAAGATGGATCTATGTTGAGAAAGAAGTGGATTTTAAATCCCTGGGACACCTGTGTCAGGGCCAGAGCTGCTATTCAGCATACTCAAACAGCAAATTTGGGTATGCCATTAAAAAGCAGCATAGTGCCACCTGCCTAGTTTATTATTTTATTTTTACCACTCTGGGGTGCCATTTAGATGTTCAGCTTCAGGCGACAAAATACCCTGGACCACTTCTGTCTGATGCTGCCTCTAAATCAAGGATGGCTAACTGTGAACTCTCCAGCATGCTTTCTGGATATATCCTTACATATATTTATTATATCTTATTTTTAAAAAACTTGAGCAATCTGAAAATGGTGATTAGACTATTTGAGTGAGACTGTCTCCTCAGTACAGTTTACATGATATAGTGGTCTCTAGCCTATGAAGGCTTATGTCACAATAAATCAGTTAGTCTTTAGGATGGGACAGACTCTATTGTTTTACTACAACAGACTGATGCAGCTATTCGTCTGGAACTGAGTCAACAAGAGTTAATAAATACAAAATAAAATTATGATTTGTTCCCTTGTTCTTCCTTATTGCTGTATGAAGATTTCATTGCTTGGGAAAGAGAAGGAATTTTGCAACATCTGAACAAAGGAAATGATAAAAACCAAGAACCATAGCCCTCATAAATGTCTCATTGGTTGCAATGATGCGTTGCAACAGGAAACTGTCTTCTTAGTACATTTTAATTTACTATGAATAAGTGAAATACGGTACTTTGTGCAGTGAATCAGTGCAGTATCTAGAGCACCCAGATATAAAGCAATGCATTTGTGTGCTGTAAATCATTCTGAATATTTTCCGACGGTAAGTTGTAGTTTGAGGTGTTGGCCTACAGCCTGACAACTGCTAACAGTATTGTGGTTTTCAGAAAAGAAAAAAGAAAAAGAAACTGTACTCTGACACAATATGCATAGTGTCAATGATGTGCTAGTACACAGAGGTCAGTTTATTGTATTATGGCTTCAATCACACAGTAATTCCTGCTGTAATGGAGCCATTCCCGTGTCAAGGGCACTTAGCCAGACTTGTGAATTATAGCACTGTAGAAGCTGCTCTTCAGTTTATTACAGTTCAATCAGGGCGTTTCGCACACATATTACTTTGCTCACCCAGCAATGGCCCCACCTGTGACTTTTAGCCAGAGTCAACCGTCCCAGGGTATAACATATTGCAGGGTTATATTCTACCTGTGTAACTCATCTCCCGTAAAGAAGAAAAAGGCCACAATAACTGTAAATCTGCAGTGCAGTATATCAGTGAGGAATCTGCAACATGCTATTGTAATGAAATGAATTTGGTACTTGTGTTGGGAAGTGCTGGGAATATTTTTCGTTGCAGCTGAAATCTGGCTTTCGCCTACAATAAGGAGGAATTACCGTAACCTTCCTTCCCAAATTGTTCTCAAATAAACTTTAATAAGCACAACCAGTACTGAATACCCTTGTAAACTGCACATCATTGCTTTATGGTCTGGAAGCAAGACTGCCTGGACCTTACCCAGAGACCTCCATCTATAAAAGTTTAGAGGCACGGAGGCTATTGCTGCTGCAGCTTCTGTCCTGTTCCTCAGTTGTTGAGGATGGAAGTGGGTGGCAGCTGCTTCTAAGCGCCTCCCAGCATTTTGACGTCCCTGAGTACTGAGCTGGCTACCCAACAAGTACCATTGAAATAAAAAGTGATGCTTTCTTAGTAAACTTATTAGGGTTGGGGTGCTTATCCCCCCCAACCTTACTTATAAGTAACAATATGTCAACTTTAGAGCAACAATTTTCTAACTGTGTTCTGGAGGACCCTTGGAGTTCCTTGGAAGGTTATCTGCTATTGTGGGATATCTGTTCAGGGCTGCAGGAGAGGATATATCGTTTGATTATATTCTTTCCAACTTGTGTTAACAAGTTCTACAATTTAGCAGAGTAACATTCCCCTTTTTAAACTTGAACAGTGGATGCATTTGCTCAGGCTCACTAAAGCCTCTAAAATAATTTACCTGATAATTTCCCCTTTAGTTCCTCATAAAAGAAATAGACATGACACAGTCTTCTATAAAAGTATAAAAAGAGTTTACTCACTCATTCTGTTCACAGATGGATCCTAGAAGGCCATAGCTGCCAACTTTTCCCTTTTCTTGCGAGGAATCCTATTCGGAATAAGGGAATTTCCCTTAAAAAAAGGGAAATGTTGACAGCTATGCAGAAGGCAGACTTACGTTACAAAAGTCATATACCTGGAATCAATCCCATAAAGAGATAGTCCCTTTGTTCTCGCTTGGCTGGAAGCCAAGAGAGCATCTTAGGCTAAGCAGATGTTGCTTCTTCGACAAATGTAGTCAGAGAGAGAGAGAGATGGCGGCCAGTCCTATGCTTTTGTTACCTGCACAGGTGAGGCCACGCCCACCTCTGGTCACATGTAGAGGAAGTCTGTCCCAGCCTAGGAGGAAACAGGAAGTTGTACTTGACTGCTCTGTGTTTCACATCCCACAGCTATTCCTTAATTATTAGTGCAGTAACAGCAGACAAACTTCCTGGAAACACAGCTTATCCACCAATAGAAATCTTCTGCAATGTGCAGCTGAAAGAGTTGGCTTCTCAGTTGACAGAAGGAGGCCTTCCTCAGTGTCTTCTATGAGGGGAGAGTGTGCCCTAGAACATATGTGGCCCAGAATCCACTGTCTTGGTAGATGACATGGGTAGGATTCTATGAAGTTAGGAAGCTGTCAAACCACTGATCTAGTGGACAGGCTTAGATCTGGGTTCAAGTGCTCTCAGTGCCTGAGAGTTGTCCTTGTTGTTGAACTCTTAACTCCCATCAACTCCAGTCAGCATAGCCAATACTCAGGGATTATGGGAGCTGCTATCCAGTGATATCTGGAGGGCCACAGCTGGTTCCCCATCTTTGATCTATGCCAGGAGTAGGCTATATTTTTCACTCTGAGGATTGCATTCCCTTCTGGACAACCTTCCAAGGAACACAGGCAAAAGTGGCTGGAGCAAGAAATGCAAATTTTGCCTTTGGACAGTAGGCTCGTTCCTACTCCCTTGCCCTGAGTCTCAGGTTCACAACCCTGATCTATTTCCTAGTAGTCTTTGTTTACGACTTTGGCATAGCTGTCAACTTTCAGATTTGAAAATAAGGGATCAGCAGCCTCGAAAATAAGGGATCAGCAGCCTCACCTGTCCCGGGGACAGTCTATGGGATATCTAACAATCCGGGATAGCAGTGGGAAACGGCGCTGGAATAAGGGAATTTCCCGCAAAAAAAGGGAAGGTTGACAGCTATGGACTTTGGTCATACAGTATTCCTGTCTCTCAGCTCCAGCAGGTCAACTGCTGCTTCTGGCCCCGGTCCCTGGGCGTTGTAGGGCGGGGCAGGCACGCTCAGGATAGGATAGCCAGCAAAGATTCAAGATTGCTAAGCACTTTGCACATTAAACCGTTTCTGTATACTTTACATGCATGGGCGTAGCCAGGATTTTTGTTGGTGGGGGGACGGCTTTTGTTAGGAGGGGAAAGAACCTCAGATTTGTCTTGCTTTTTTATTGAGTTAGGGGCTTGGCTATGGGCACATGCTTTTTATACAAGCTGCGTAACACGCAGTGGCTGTGGACGCATTCACAACCTCTCCACGATGCAACCTGCGAGCTAATGTCAACTCTCTGCTGCTCCGTATGCAAAACCCGGGCTGGAGCGGAACCAATCAGGACCAGAACCAGCTCCCAGGCCCCGCCTTCATTCCTAAACCCACCCCTCCTCCGACGGCTCGCTTAACAGCTCGGTGCAAGTGATGGGATGAGAAACGCGCGCAAAACCCTGTTTTGGCGAGAGGTGGCTCGCCTTGGCGGAGGAGTGTCCGGCGTTGCTGCTTTTCTCGGCACTTACCTGGGCAAAGCTGCCGTTGCAGCACGATGCGGGAAACAGGAGGAGACGAAGAAAGACCATAGCAACTCGGCAGTCTCGCTTGGAAGCGGTTTGTGCCGGTGCGCGCGTGGGAAGCCCCGAACGCGCGTTTCGGATCGGATCGAGAGGTGCTGAGAGAAGAAGGGAGAGGAAAGGAAAGGCGAGCTATGGAGCGCGTCTTGGCTTTGCAACGCTTTCTTCGGGACTAGTTCTGCAAAGAGGGAGCTGGAGGGCAAGCGGCGTGGGGGCGCAACCGGCAATCCAAGACCCCAGGCGCCATTAATTCCTCGGCGCGTGGAGGAAACACGTCCGGGAGGAGAACTTCCATGTAGCCGCGACCCGGGATTTTCCCTTCCGTCAGGAGTATATTTGCACGCGCAAGTCTTACGGGGGTTCCCCGCCCCGCCCCGCCAGCCCCTTCTTCCTCGCCGTCTGTGTTTGCCTGCAAGTTGCGAAGCTTCCCATTGGATTTCATGGAGCTGGGATTCCTGGTACTTGTTGGGCTTACAGTTATCTCGAGTACAGGTAAAAAAACCAAACCAAACAAAGGTGGCGGAGAAAGAGATCGATTGTATTGGTTATTTCTGATCGCTTTCTCGGAAGGGATTCCCGGGAGCGGCGATAGTGAACAAGAATTCGATTTTGCAGCGATTAGCCGCGCGATCCGTAACTAGTTTACTCAAAACCCAGCCCTTGAATTGGCTTACTTCCCTAGTAAATGTGGATAGGTTTTGAGCTGTGCAATCCTATCACGTCTCAGAGATAAATCTAGTTTAGTTCTAAGGGTCTTATTCCTAGTTGAGTGTAGGATTGCAGTGGAAGATTGCAATCCTATACCCACATACCTGAGCGTTAAGTACACTGAAGTTTCAAATCCTATGGGCATTAGTGCCTCCTAGTAACTGTAGAGTCAAGATCAAAGATAAAGTTCTCTTAATGGCATTAGAGAAATTCTAAACACTGTTTCTTCTGTTTAACACTAACAGCATTATTATTAATAATACAATACTGTATAATAAATATAAAACTTAAAGAACAATGTGCTCTATGGAATACCAAACAGAATAAATAGGAACAACAAAATCTTGCCAGAAGCTTATAACTTCTGAAATGTTAAGTAATTATAAAATTTAAATGGCTACATCAGTGACTATTCCCTTGGTGACTTAAAAGCAAGACAATATTAAAAAATACACTGTACAATAATTAAAAACAACAATTAGCAATAAAAAATAGAAACAAACCAAACACCAAACATTTAAAACTGCTTTTCCATCCCCTTGCTTTTTAAAAATAATGCTATTTGGCAACAAAAAATTACGAACCCACCTTTCCGTATTAACTGTTCCTCAAATGAAATATGTAGGATTTTCTGGATCAAGGAAATCTGACAATTTTTCTAAAAAATAAAAAGCAGAGACCTTTCCAAAGTATTATATTGATTATGTGTACTTTGGAGTTATGCACGTTTGCTGCTGAACAAAGAAGAATGTTTTCTCGTGCTGTGGCTGTGATGAACAGGGAGCCTGGGAATAAATCCCTGGCTGAAATCTAACCTCAGTAACACATTCTCTTCATAGTATTAAGGATAGCAAAACCACTGTCTCTTGGCTGCAATGGTGTTGATCATTCTTGCTTGCCTTACCAAGGGGTTGCAAGTCTATCTGAAATGTTTTGAAGACGCAAAAAGTCTGGTATTGTCTCCACCAGGAAGTTCCCTGACGGAAATAATACTGCATTATTTTGGGTATCTCACATGGTTGAACTGCACTGTGTACTGGTTGCATCTAGGATCTCTCGCTTGTGGAAGTGAGGATGCCTGGAGTGCACCTCTAAGATTGCACTGTCATCCCTGCAGGTATTGCTCTGATCTCCCTTGAAATCCTGCATGCCAGAAGGATCTGGCAGATGACAATAAAATGTGCCTCTAACTTGCATGCTATGGCTTGTTACAAGGCAGCACGCTTTTGGTGAGAGGTTTTCTCACAGTGTAATATGGCACTAAATTATTCAAGGAATTTTTGGAGTATTTCCTGCATTTCAGGATCTAGAAGTTGCACAACTCCGAGGGATAAGTTGCACATTTCTAGTGGCCAAGAGCAAATGTTGAAGCCAGTGGTCCTCCAACATCAATAAAAGACTTCTGATATCTGTATACTGGCAGCTTAGGAGAAATTCGTGCTTGTTATACTTGGCAAAGTAGTGCAGTTTGACAATCAGTGTACGACTTTGTATTCTTTTCGTCCATTTGCTCAACTTTTCCCTCATTGGCATTGTTCTCAGGTAAGCCATAGTTAATATTTTACCAGGAATGCATGGATCAGTCTCATTTTGCTCCTCCCCTTGCATGAGCAGGAGCAACAAAACTGCCCTTGGTTTATGGTGTCCAAATTGTTGACTGTGATTTGTTTTTCTCCAAACAAACTACAAGCAAAATCTGGCTTCAGATCATGGTTTGTTGCATGAGCGTAACCAGGACTTTTTGGGGGGGGGCAAGCTTTATGGGGGGGGGGGGAGAGGCAGAACTGAATTATCTTCAATGCAATTGGTCAATTAGTTAAGTATTTTTATTTATTTACTTGATTTGGGGGGAAGCACCCTGGCTACGCCCATGGTTTGTTGGGATTGAATTAAGCCACAATCCCTGGTTTGGATAGAACACTAAGTCAAGAATTGCGGTTTTATGTTCCCACTAAGAAAGTGCTGTTGTGCTCAGGTCCTGCTTTCAGACTTCCCATAGGTATCTGGTTGGTCACTGTGAGAACAAGATGCTGGACTAGATGGTCCATTGTCCTGAACCAGTAGACTTTTCTTAAGTACTTTTTAGCAAAGTGGGAGTGATCTGCTCATTAATGCTAGACTGTGGCTTAAAATGCCATGCACGCCGTCCTACTCACTTAGTGTCCTGCTTTGTAGACCATGGTTCATTAAACTAAGATTTATTAACCATGGCTAAGTGATATGTGTCCATTGGCCATGTTCAGATGTTATGATAAACTGGTTTATTATGAGATGGATCAGCCTGTGCAAGCTTTCAGCTCATCAGCTTTCCACTCCTCCAGCGTGACTGTGAGAAGTGGATTGGAAGTTTCACTTCTGTTCCTGATTAATAGCTGTATAGTGTTACACTCTGTGGTTTGAAGCTCTCTTGTTTCAAACAAACCCTAGCATAGTTTTTCTTTGTTCAGATGGCATAACAGGTCATGGTGAATCAAACTGTAAGAGAAAGCTTCTGAGCTCCTCATGGCCTTGACACAGGAGGTGAGAGGGGTGTGTGCAAACCAACGCTCACACAGGCTCATTTCTGTCATAATCACAGAATCACAGAATTGTAGAGTTGGAAGGGACCCTGGAGGATCATCTAGTCCAGCCCCCTGCAATGCAGGAATATGCAGTTGTCCCATACAGGGATTGAACCTGCAACCTTGGCATTATCAGCACCACGCTCTAATCAACTGAGCTATCCAGTGTCTCAATAAGCTGTGGTTTATTATGATGTCTGAAAACATGTAATCATAGGTGGAAGTCTCAGTTGTTGATTAGCATAAATAGATGTTCATGATTTATTGCAGTTTCCATTCCATATGTTAAAAAGTAATAAAAGACAACTATTAACTTGGAGCAAACATGCTAAGGATTGTGACAGTCAATGGTCCTTTAAATCTTGTTCCAGATGTTGCTGCCTTTTTATTGGTCTTAAATGCCTTACTGCGGAAATAGAAGCTTTCCCTTCTGATTAAACTTTGTCTTTTATTTTCTCCCCGACTTTGCAGGCTTCTCACTGCCCGTCTCTCGCCCCCTGCTGCTCTACAGTGGTGGCAGTAGCAGCAACAGTGAGCTGAGGTTTCCAGGGCCCCACGGGAGGGTCAGCAAAGAAAACGAGACAGCAGTAGGAGGGCTGCTTTCAGCCGGCAACGCCACCGTGGGGAAAGTGGCTGGCCCACCGGAGGTACACCACAGAGCCAAGCGCTGCACTTGCTACACCTACAAAGATAAGGAGTGTGTTTATTACTGCCACCTGGACATAATCTGGATCAACACCCCAGAGTGAGTGAGGAGGTTTGCTCTAAATAATGTATGAAAAGTGAATCTCCCTGCTGTTTTATATACTCCACATGCACTGTTACATGTGGAGTATACACTTTAATCTGCATAATGGTACAGTCTGGTGATGCTGAATGAATAAGATACGGAATTAGTTTGTATACATCTCTTAGATGTTGTTTATGTAGCTCTTCTTTGGAGTTTGGCTGCGATTCCAATGGCTGTATATAACTGACTGTGTGTGCATGTGTTTATACACAGTTTGATTTGTATCGTCTAGCTAGTGTACCAGAAGCTGAAAATAGGATAAGATAAAGTGAATCAAAGTGGAGTAACCTCCAAGCAAGGAACCAATGAGTAAAACTATTCATATAATAGCCCTAGTGAATTGTGCAAAGGCAACTATTGGATAGGAAGGCAAAAACTGAACAGAGTCAGTAGCTGATCTTACTGGCATGAAAATTCCTTCCAGTTCTGAGTCTGCAAACAATGGCTTGGCTTTCTTACCAGTCACTACTTATTCTCACCCACAGTGGCATAGCACAGGTTGCTGGTGCCCCAGTGGGGCAAGTGCCCCCCGGTGGACTGGGCAGCCCAGTGGTGCTGGGCCATCATGCGAGGAAGCTGCCTTGGCAGCTCCCTCACATGCCAGACTCCAGTAGACGAGTGGCGCACCTTCTCTTCCGCCCCTGGATCAGGTCTGACAGCTCCGGCATGGCAGCATTGGGCCGCTGTGTGAGGAACCTCCTCATGCAGAGGAGAGGTGTGGCGATGCTGGTTCTTGTCTTCTCCATGTAGAAATACGAATGCAGTTGGCTGTATTTCAGTGTGGAAGGGAGAGGGGTTGTGAGCTGCTGGATGTTCACCCGAGTGCCTGGGGTATTAAACTGAGCAAGTGGATTTGTAGATGCCTGCTTCCTACCCCAAATATTGCAGTGTCTTCACCAGATCCTGGAGTATGAAGTAAGTAAAGTAAAAGTATAGGACCCCTGGACGGTTAAATCCAATCAAAGGCGGGTGCGGCGTGCATCTCGCTTTACAGGCCGAGGGAGCCAGCGTTTGTCCACAGACAGCTTTCTGGGTCATGTGGTCAGCATGACTAAATCGCTACTGGCACACTGAGGACCATGACGGAAACGCCATTTACCTTCCTGCTTCAGCGGCACCTATTTATCTACTTGCACTGGTGTGCTTTTCAACTGCTAGGTTGGCAAAAGCTGGGACAGAGCAGTGGGAGCCCACCCTGTTGCATGGATTTGAACCGCTGACCTTCCAATTGGCAAGCCCAAGAGCAGGGATAGGCAACTTAAGGCCCGGGGGCCGGATGCGGCCCATTCTCCTTCTCAATCCGGCCCAAGAGGCTCAGTTTAGACCACGTGCCACTGAACCTATAGATGGAATTATTTTTGTAGCTGACAACTAATTTGACAAAAATAATTCAGATGCTGAAGTACTGCCCCAATAGTGTTTACAAAAAAATGGAAGGATTTTTTTATTTTTCATTTTTACAATGAAAGTGAGTGCTGGAAAAGGTTCCCCTTCTCTTTTTTGGAGGAAGCTGCTGAATTTGTGCATCTGGCACATGTTAAAGTTAGGAGTTAATTTTTATATCCCACCCTTTTCACTAGACATTTCAAGAATTCCACAAAAATCTATGGACAGCACAGTCTGGCATGCAAGAAGTACACACACACACATATAATTCCCTTACTCTTTCCCCCCTTTCTATAAATTTGTAATATTACTGCTCAATTCTGCCTTGCTCAGACCACAACTATGTCTAGTTCTGGGTGCCACAATTTAAGAAGGATATAGATAAGCTGGAACGTGTGCAGAGGAGAGTAGCCAAGATGATCAAGGGTCTAGAAACAAAGCCTTATGAGGAACGGTTGAGAGTGTTTGTTATGTTTAGCCTGGAGAAGAGGAGACTGAGAGATATGATATGCTACATGAAAGATGGAACAAGCTTGTTTTCTCCTGCCCTGGAGGGTGGGACCCGAACCAATAGATTCAAGTTATAATAAATATTCCTTATTTAAGCAGAGATTGGATGGTCATTTGTCATTTATGCTTTAGTTGAGATTCTTGTATTGCAGGGGGTTGGACTAGACAACCCTCGGAAATCCTCCCAAATCTACCATTCTGTGATTCTACGATTCTAGAACCTCTATCACAAATACTTTCTAGTTGGAATATTTTGTTCTGGGAGTTGGTTCACTGGAGTTACACTGGGCTGCTAATGATATTATTACAGGCTTATAAGTAGCCACTTATCTAATCATCTGTGGTGAAGCATTGCCTTCAGGCAACAAGGAAAGGAACACTGTATTTATTTTTCTTTCAACCATCCCTTGGCTGACAGTGGCTGCTTGGAATGTATAATGTTAGCAGGTAGGCTAGAAAAAGGGTTGTAGGTAAGCATCTTTTGTAAATTTATTTGCAGGGCTATATTTATTATTACTTGGACATGTGAAATTGCTAGGTGCTTACTATAGTGGTAATAATAATGTTATGCATTTAACATATTAGGCACTGTATGAAAGAAAAAAAAAGGTTCCTTATTCTTACTTCATCATGTGACAAAAGGTAAAAAGATAAGTATATTCAGGTTAATTAAAGTTTTTAATTATTGACATATATTCTCTCCCCTCCCCAAAAGGTTTATCCTGTCCACTTCCCCTGTCCTGCCACTCCTGTTTACAATTTTGGACTGTAAGTTTCTTGGGGCAGGCATTTATATTCATACAAATTGTAAAACACCCTGCACATTGTTAGCACTATTTAATTAAACAAGTGAAATAAACATTGGAGGAGACATATAACAGTTGTTTCCACCTTGGCTTGGACTACATACAGCTTCAGACTGCAAAGACTGCATATTGCTCCCTCAAGAGACTAGTTAACACCTGCCCATAGAAAATGAGCATGTTGACAAGATTCTAGCATACCCTTCTCTTGTGTTTCTACTGGGTGTGTGAGAAGACAGTACGGTTTGGTTCTTGTTTTAGACTAAGAAGGAGTAGCCCTTTATGCATCCTCCATACCATTGCCATTGAGTTTGAAGATTTATACCCTACCTTTCAGTCAAAGGTTCCTCAAGATCGCTTAAATCAGATTTCAGTACTATAAAAGATAAAAACCCAAACATAAACACATAAGCCAGCATCCCACAGGCTGAGCCACACCTTGGAGGGGCTTAGACCCTGGAACTCTGTATTGTATCATTCAAAATAATAATAGTGCATTTTAGCATGTGCAGAATTCCATTTCCGTTGTTTTTGTTAATACACCACGTTTTCCCCAGACTAGGAATTGGTGGCGCTGTGGGTTAAACCACAGAGCCTAGGACTTGCGCATCAGAAGGTCAGCGGTTCGAATCCCCGTGATGGGGTGAGCTCCCGTTGCTCGGTCCCTGCTCCTGCCAACCTAGCAGTTCGAAAGCACGTCAGAGTGCAAGTAGATAAATAGGTATCACTCCTGCGGGAAGGTAAATGGCGTTTCCGTGCGCTGCTCTGGTTTTCCAGAGTCATGCTGGCCACATGACCCGGAAGCTGTATGCTGGCTCCCTCGGCCAATAAAGCGAGATGAGCGCCGCAACCCCAGAGTCGGCCACGACTGGACCTAATGGTCAGGGGTCCCTTTACCTTTACCTTTATAGACAAAGCAGATATTTATCACTGAGCATGAGTTATGCCAACCTCTAAGGTGGGCTGTGGTTTCCAGGTGGTTTCTACGCAGGGTGTCATGTCCTAGATTGCACTTCTTTCAGAGCATTAGTTCGGAGTGGCTTAAGCTGTTTTATGTACTTGAGAAACAGGCAAGTGGAAGCAGGAAAGAGGAAGCATTTGATTGTTAGATGTTACTTGCCTTTTTTTTAAACAGCATTCCATTCATGGTGATCCATGGGACAACAATTCGGAAGTGCTAGTGTAGAGCCTCTGCAGTTCAACATGCTGCAAGAAAAATATTGTGTCATGCCACACTGAAAATGTGTACAAACTGTGTTCTGCTTGAGCAAATAGTTAGAACATACTATACAACTGTTGCCTTTCTGAAAAGCTGGATTCCTGAGCTCTTGGGACATAAGACTGCACTACTGAACTTTCATTGAGTTTATATCTATTTACTAGTCATGATCTTCCCCATTTGATCCCTACAAACTATGATTGTAGTTTGATGGAAAGCAGAGAATTCCCTGTTTGATCTTAGCCCCTTGCCTGTTTCATAGAGCTACAATTCCAAGAGGTGTTTGAGAAGAGGCCATTGCAGTTTGACTTCTTGGAATTTGTGGTGTCAATACAAGCTTAGGTTACAAAGGTATAAAGTGGGAATGTACTTCATGTTTTTGCTTAACACAGATCACGATGCCACCTTGCATTCTAATGCCAAAGCATTGTGGAATAGATCAGTGGTTTCCAGACCTTTTCCCCTATGGACTACTTGAACATGGCTGTGGGTATTAGTGGACTGATTCTTCTGCCTGTTGTAGCAATTGTAATATGCTGTGTTACATGCTATATGATTTTTATTTTGTTTCTTTATTGCTTATAATATTTCTTATATATTGTTTACAATATGAATTTCATAGAATTCAAATTGTAATATGTTAAAATACATTATAAGAAACAAAAGCAGCACTAGAATTAAACTGGAATACAGATTAATTTGACCCTCATGAAGATACCAGTTGCAAAAATGCTGCAGTCCTTCAGATCCATCCAACTTTTAAATACACTTGATTTGTGGCTTGAATAGTTAGCATTTAAATTCCATATACAGAGAAAATGTATGACACCCAGATGCATGTTTTCCACTTCTCACAGATGAACGCCAGGAATTGAAAACAGTGCCCGCTGTGTCATAAAGAACTATATAAGCATACATTTTCAATTAAAAACTCCTGTGTAATAGCAAATAACTTCATAAGAGAAATCCAGATGCTACAGGATTTTTTTGAAAACTGGAAATAGTATGTTTCTCTGGATCCCATCATGTTGCACATATGGATTTTCTCAACTGCACTTTTTGTCAGATGATAGATTGCTTAGTTTTCCATGGTGCATATCTGAAAAGCTGTAATAGTTGCTCCAGGACAATTATAGTATTTTGCTCCAGTACACTTTTATAGTATTTTGCTTGTACTAGTAAGTGAAGGTTTTTGCTAGATATTTTGATAGGATATGCTGCTATTGGCTTCCATATCACTGTAGTATATTGCTCCAATAACAGCCTCATTATAACAATGCCAATTTTATCCAATTGATACAATTATTAATGCCAATTATTCAAATGTCAAATTATAAAGTTTAATTAAACTGGCCCCCTCGCATGCTAGAGTTGATAAGTTCATTCTTCTACATTTTTTCTGTGTTCCAAAATTTTAATAATTTTCATTCCTTTCCATTCAGATATAAATACCCCTTATATAACAGTTATAATCTTGTGATTTCAATTCGTGTTGGTATAATAGGTAATTTATAAAGTTTCAAGTGAGGAACTTTAGCTGCAATCATTATTCTTTCCTGTGTGTGACATTTACCCCCACGATGTCTTTCCATCCATATATGGTGTTGTATCCTTTATTTCTGCAACTGTTGATGGTTCCAGTCAAGTCTTGGGAGAAATTGTTATCTCAGAGTTTTCAAAAGTCACTGCATCGCTTTGTCCCGTGATTCAGTTTCTAGTAAACAAGCCATCTTTGCCATTTTTCCAGCCTAGAAAGAACGGTCTGTATCCAGACTGCAGTTAGTTAATCCAAAAACTTCTATTCTTGCAACTGGTAGACTCCTTTCCTCCCTGCCACTGATTTATGGCCATTTATCCTTATCTCAAACAGATTCCTTTGTGGGTAATGGAGGTTAGGGTGCATTTTGCGCTATATTTTCAAAGCATAGCCTTTCTTCCCTGGTTCCCTCTCAGTTCCTTTTTCTCTCACACACAGTTTCAATTTTGTTAAATTCCATATTATATTCCAATCTCTTCCATCCTCACTTGTGCAAATATTTAAAAATAAAACTTCCATTGTGGGGTGGGGTTGCTGTATCATAAATGTAGAGAAAAACCTTAAGTAAGCAAACTGTGGGCTCCCCTCTCCGCATTGTCTCTTTCACCAAATGAAATCGGCTCTCAATCCAAACCTTTCACATCCTTGTAGCTAGGTTGTTTTCGCAGTTTCTTATCTCATCGTCTCTGGCATGTGCCTGTAGTTTTCTCCAATTAAAATCCAGTTAACAGCATAACCTGTGTTTCCAGGAATGGGATGGGGGTGTGTGTTTGTGGCAGCCAGAGTGCTCTGTGCACCCAGTACCTTTGCCTACCCTTGCATTCCATGGGGAAGCGAGTGCCAGACCACCAGGCAAACTGCGGGTGAGAGCCTGGTTCCTCTTCCAACTGAAGAGGAATGCAGATAATGAAATCCCCTTATCATCATCTGATTATCTCAGTCTGCTTCTCTCCTGTGGTGTTGGGAGAGACCCCATTCCTGGTGCACCGGAATCAGGAAGTTATATCACTATGATTCTTGATCCTAATTCTCCTCTTTGGCACAGAGATGGAATACAGAATAATTGCCATACCACATACCACACAGTAATGTACTGAGTGAATTGTTGAAAGATTGGTGCGGCTAATACTGGCTCTCTAGGTGTACCTGTGCCATACATTAGTACATTTGCCTAATTCACAAATTGCATTCTTTTTAGAAGTAAACCTTTAAAATGCTGTGAGTGAAGTGGTTTAATAAAGGAATATGAATTGACATTCTAAACTCTATTTCTCTTTTAAAATGCAGGCTAAATCATGACCCAAATAATAATACATTATTTCAGTATTCACAATTTTCGTGCATTGAATATGCCACGTTTTGAGCTTCTGTTTATCTTTATTTATCTGCTAAAGGAAGATGACATGGATAAGAATGCATTTGGAATTCTCATTCTAGAGCAAACAGGGTTATTTCAAAGTATTGTGTTTTGAAATTTCTGATACTGGTTTCGTAAGGAACCTACATAAACAAATTATGGCTGTTCCCTTCAAAACATTAATCAATGCGACCCAGGACATCTGCTGTTTGCCACTTGTAATTTTTCAAAGGAGAAAAGATTAGACATGTGGCTGCTTTTCATACCACATATGATAAGCATGTGTTTCTTTCTTGGGAAACTGTTATTGGAAAACTGTTATTGGATTGCACACTTCTGTCCTTAGTCTCTGAACCTTTTTTAAGTATATATAAAAAAGAGGTACTGCTAGGGAACTTTTAAGATGAGGGCCTTTTCACACAATATAGATTTCTGTAAGTTACTGCTTTTGTGTAGATGAGCTCCTCAAACACATGATAAATGCACCCTTCTCTTTAATAGGCTGCACATTCCTGCCACATTTTTGTGCAGTAAAATACAACTGAATGTTAAACTCTTATCAGTGTTGTTTTGTACCAAAGCATTATCTGTCTAGATAAACCTTCTTGCCTGAGGCAGCTTAAATTTGAGATCTGAATTTGGGAATAAATATCTCACATCATTTCTGTTTATCATACTATCAATCAATCAATCAATCAATCAATCAATGAGCCAGTTATCCTTGATCAAATTCCGCTCACTTTAGTAGGATTATATGTGCAGAATTGCTCGTTCCGGTCCTTAATGTTGAAAAATGGGCCTTCTGCAATGAATCAATCATATGCTTTCCATTTTTAAATTGGCAGTGCTTTCTAATAAACTGTGAAAGAGTGTTAAAATAGAAAACACTGTTTTGAATTTGATTTGCCTTTTCTGCTATGCTGAATGACTATTCAGACTCAGGCAGCCAAATTCTCTACTGTAGTTGGTCTAGCCACCAACTACCTCTGGTGTTAAAGATAGGAAGACATGAAGTTCTACCCCACATGCCATTGTTATTTCCTGCAGATTCCTTACTCCTTCTTGCTAGTGCAACACTGGCAATTTGGTTGACAGTGCAGGCTGCTGAACCTGGGAGGGTGATGCATGGGTTCAAATAGCTGCTTATGCCTGAAACTTGCTGGGCAATACTGAGTAAATCATTACCCTACCTCAAAGGGTTGTTGTGAGGATAAATTTGGAAAACAGTGGAGACTTGATTCTGTCTCCCTAATATTTATCTACAAATTGACAGGTTGTTCAGTTATTCTGAGGATTTATGCACTAAGTAAATCAAGCTAAGGCTGATTTCAGAAAGCTTAAGGCACTACTGGGTCAGAAATACTCAAGAGAAGGGAGTCCTAGATGAATGGGTCTGCTAATGAAGGCACAAAAGCAGACAATTCCAACAAGAAAGAAAAGGTTGAGGCATCTCTTCTTTGTTCTTCTTTGGCGATCACTTGTAGCCGAGTAAGATTGTCTTCCATAAACACGGTTTTAACAATGAGTCCGTAAGTGACTGTGGAGGCCAGTTCTGGATCTACACGTCCTTCCACAGTGGGGACACTGGTTTCCGGGAGGGAGCTGATCATGGTGTGGATTTGCCAAGCGTGCCTTCCTCCTAGCACGTTTCTCCCTTGCGTCCTGAGTTCGAGTGTCTTCAAAGCCCATGACACCTTTGGTAAAGGCTGTTCTCCAACCGGAGCGCTCGCAGGCCAGTGTTTCCCAGTTGACAGTGTTTATACTACATTTTTAAAGATTTGCCTTGAGACAATCTTTAAACCTCTTTTGTTGACCACCAGCATTACGCTTTCCATTTTTAAGTTTGGAATAGAGTAGTTGCTTTGGAAGACGATCATCTAAAGAAACTGGTGTGGCCGCGTAAGGAGCTTACCGATGAGCTGAGAGTTAAGAAGGGCATGTGTAAGAAATGGAAGAAAGGAGGAGTATACACGAGTAGTAAACAATTGGAGGGTGAATGCCAGGTGGGCTAAAACTCAGAATGAGCTCAGGCTTGCAAGAGAGGTTAAAAATAAGTTTTCTATGTTCGAAGCAAGAGGAAGAACAAACAAGTGGTAGGTCCTCTGCATGGAGAAGATGGAGAAATGCTATTGGGTGACAAACACCCACTTTGCCTCTGTCTTCACCCAAAAGGAAAGCAATGCCCAGCCTCGTGATAGCATAATAAACTGATGTATGGAGGGAGCAATTCTGTTATTCTATGATTAAATGTGGCATGGTTGCTGGTATAATATAGAATCGTAGAGTTGGAAGGGACCTGAGGATCATCTAGTCCAACCTCCTGCAATGCAGGAATATGTAGCTGCACCATACAGCTATTGAACCTGCAACCTTGGTGTTATCATTCTCTACCATTCTTTAGCCAACTGAGCTATCCAGGCTTATACAGTATACGTGCTTATTTGTAGGGAATGGGAGTTAACTAGAATAATAAGGGTGGGAAAGTGTTATAAATGTGCCAGCCCGCTGATGTGTTGGAATCAGTAAGCATGTGTTGTTTATTGGGCAGTGTTACTCAATGACATTGGTATGCCAAGTTTTCCTCTTCACATGCTCTGCTGCATTAGCAACATGCTGACAGACTGCTAGCTGGTTTATATTTTCATTCCTTCCTACCTTTTTTTTTATTCCAAAGCTTCAAGGCGAGTAACATATTTAAAAAGGAATTTAGGTATACAATATAATTGAATTCAAATAGATTCCTTCCTCATTAACTCTTGCTGCCAAATGGGCAGCTGCCAATCTGCTAGAGGCTGAACATTTTCCAGAAGCACCACAAACCTTTCCACCCTTTGTTTTCTCTCCCTATTAAGTCGAAAAGACTTCTAATGGCCAGTGCTTGATGCCTGGACATTTTAATTCCCTGCTGTTTTGTGGGTTCCTGGCATGTTTTAAACTTTACTATTTTAGCACAGACGGTTTGGTGTAACTTCCAAGGGGTCAGGCCAAATGAGGCAATTTAATTAAGCAATGACAAACCTAGACAGCATCTTAAAAAGCAGAGACATCACCTTGCCAACAAAGGTCCGTATAGTAAAAGCTATGATTTTCCCAGTACAGTGGTGCCCCGCAAGACGAATGCCTCGCAAGACGGAAAACTCGCTAGACGAAAGAGTTTTCCGTTTTGGAGGTGCCTCGCAAAACGAATCTGCTATGGGCTTGCTTCGCAAGACGAAAATGTCTTGCGAGTTCCTGGGTTTGTTTTTTCCTTTCCCCCCTCTTTTTCTAAGTCGCTAAGCCGCTTATCTGCTTATCCGATAAACTGATAAGCTGCTAAAAGCCGCTAAAAGCCGCTAAAAGCCGCTAATAGCGCTAATCCGCTAATCCGTCAATGGGCTTGCTTCGCAAGACGAAAAAACCGCTAGACGAAGAGACTCCCAGAACGGATTCTTTTCGTCTTGCGAGGCACCACTGTAGTGATGTATGGAAGTGAGAGCTGGACCATAAAGAAGGCTGATTGCTGAAGAATTGATGCTTTTGAATTATGGTGCTGGAGGAGACTCTTGAGAGTCCCATGGACTGCAAGAAGATCAAACCTATCCATTCTTAAGGAAATCAGCCCTGAGTGCTCACTGGAAGGACAGATCGTGAAGCTGAGGCTCCAATACTTTGGCCACCTCATGAGAAGAGAAGACTCCCTGGAAAAGACGCTGATGTTGGGAAAGATGGAGGGCACAAGGAGAAGGGGACGACAGAGGACGAGATGGTTGGATAGTGTTCTCAAAGCTACCAGCATGAGTTTGACCAAACTTTGGGAGGCAGTGGACTAAACAACAACAAAATTATGCAATAAAAGGCTGTTCCAACTAAAGGGCTTGATTTCCATATAGAAAATGGTGTTAGGGAAAGGGTTAACTCACCCCAGCAGCTGCTTTTATGCAAAGGGAGAAAAAAACTTGGGAGATATGTGACTCTCCTGTTTCATGTTTTTTTTTTCAGCCAAGTGGTGTTACCCACATGAAGGAACTTAAAAGTTTCCCTAGCCATTGAATTATGTCAAGCATACTCTCTCCCAGGCTGTAGGTGGTTAAAATCTTCTTGTTTTGCAGACCAGGGGAAGGTATATAATTGTTCTGGAAATGGGTATTTTTGTGTCCAAGTTGATGGTCTTAACTTTGTGTGTATTTCCTTTATTTTGGTTTTGCTGAGTTCTACTGTTCTTGATTTTTAATTGAAAATATATTTGAGAGCATAGTTTATGACAGGGATGGCGAACCTTTTGCAGCCTGACGGCTGCATTCCTACATGGGAGACCTTTCAGGGACCATATGCTAGTTCTGGGCAGGGCCAGATTCAAAATATATGACACTCGCCTTTGTATAGTAGGCTACATTCCAGTCACAAACAGGTTGGCTTTCTACACACCCACAAAATCTCTCCATCCATCCATCCATCCATCCAGGCAACTGAGGTATTATCACAGTTCCAGGACACATTCCCACCTCTACCCTGGCAGAATCACTCAAAAGGAGGGCCTGGAACAGAGCCAGTAAAGATTGTGGCCTGGGGAGGATCTGGGCAGCCACATTTGGCCCCTGTGACTAAGGTTTCCTACTTGTGCTTTACTAAGCAGGGTGGATATCTGAATAGAAATAAAATACGAGCCCATGTTGCTACGTGACTGAAGTCTTGGCGAACACTGAGTTATTCCACATTATGCAGAGTGTGATAATAAAGATTATCTGAATGCCTATTTGAAATACTTAGGGTGTAAAGTCCCTTTGGAGGAGGAAGATGCCAGCTGTGTTCTTTGTAAAGCACTACGTACATAGATGGTTCTATAAAAATTCACTAGTAGTAATAAACATTGCAGATGTTTATAACAAACATTTAAACATTCCTTCCTGCAAGACCCAGTTCTCACTGAAGTAGTAGAACTGCAAGTGTGTCTCGCATGATTGTTCTTTGACATGAAGATTGTTCCAGGCACATAGAAAATTAGTTCTAGCAGATAGATTGATGAAGATGTCAACCTAGGGTGTGGCAGCTGTGGAAAATGTGAATTCCGAGTTAGGAATCATTAGTCACAGGAATGAAAATGAAACTGTCAATATCATAATGCGGTTATACAAATCTTTGGTGAGTTTTGAACACCATCCTGGAAATACTGTGCACATTTCTGGTACATTTCTTACCTCTAAAAGGATATCATAGATCTAGCAGAAGTTCAGAGAAGATCAACCAAAATGATCAAGGGATTGGAGCAATTCTCCTATGAAGAAAGGTTACTGCATTAACAGCTTTTAGTCTGAGGAAGGAAGGTGAGTAAAGGGGACATGATAGAGTTGTATAAAATTATGCTTGGCATAGAAAAATTGGATACGGAGGCATTTCTCTTCCTCTCTTGTAATCGTAGAAACGGGTGCCATCAAATACAGTACTGAATGTTAGTATATTCATGGCATCCAAAATAAAGTGCTTTTCCCACACGCTGCACAGTTAAATGCTGGAATTCATTCCCAGAAGATGTTGTGATTGCCATTAACTTGGATAGCTTTAAGAGAGATTAGGCAAGGTCATAGAGGGTAAGACTATCAGTGACTACAACAATGATGGCTATTTTCTGTCCTCCACTGTCGGGAGGCATTATACCTCTGAATACCAGAAATCACAAGTGGGGAGAATGCTGTTTCACTCAGGTCCTGCTTGCATGCTTCCCATGGGCATTTGCTTCTTCACTGTGAGAACAGGATGCTGGGTTTTGACCTGATCCAGTATAGCTTTTCTTACATTCTTGCCCAAATCACAGCACACTGGTAATGCTCAACAAGATACAAAGCTGTTTTGATCATTATTCTCTCCTGAATAAATTGTGTGTGTGTGTGTTTGTTTTGGAGAGGGTTGTATGTTCTCTGTACAGATTTTGTGACGCGAAATCATAGTATTAGAAATGTTACAAGAAGCCCTAAAGTGCAGTATTGAGTTTTGCATTAAAATTGGTTATGAGAGTGATGTAATTTTGAGTCACCTTAGAATGTAATGAACACTCACCCTTTGGAGCAGACTGTTGAATACTCAGAGGCGTCAAGGAAACACAGCTACCAAGGGACATACGAGGCTTAATTCATAGTTCTGTGAACTCCTTTTGCTCTCTGTGGTAGAATTTGACATCACAGTTATACCTAGAATTGGAATTGCTCCAGGCCAGGTTTCAGTGCTCTGCTGCTTTACTTGAAAATGTCTTTATTGTAAAGGGGATCTTCATAAAACAAAAAAACCAGAATGTTAAACTACTACATATGACTTTAAAATTATAACGGTAGAACAGTACAATGGAAGTGGTAGACTCCTCACCACTAAAGGAAGTACTTGTGACAAAGCACATAATGAACCTGGGGAATTTGCTGCCACAAATGTAGAAGGGGACTGGAAAAATCATGTACATGTCAGACAGATATTAACAGCCTTTGGCTATAAAAGGAACCAACCATGCTCAGAGTCAAAAACCAGACTGGACTAAATGGATATTTTTGTACATCCAGCAGGACAGTTAATATGTTCGTGTGCAGATTTAAAGTGCTCTCACAATAGTCTCTTAAGCACACTTTATCTGTGCTTCTAATTTAAATATAAAACCTACTTTGGCTATAATATAGAATACATTTTAAAACAGCTTTTTCATGTCTCCCCTGTTAACTGCATATACAACTTAAGGGAAACCACATGCATGTAGCCATTGAAAAGAGGCCTACTTAGGTGAGCTATTCCCAGCCAGCTTACAATGTTTGCAAATACTTGACTTCCCGTGTGGCTTTTTGTTATTTTAAGGTTCCCTTGGGACAAGTTCCCCATATCTGCTTCACATTTACTTGCTTTTCTCTTCCCTGCCCATTCTTCCCCACCTTTTTTTCTATCATGTCTGTGGAATTGGAAATGTGTGGGCAGGAACATCTTTTAATGTTCTGTGCAGCACCTAATCATTTATTATAAAGCACTTAATTATTATTTTTTAACATCAACTACATTGTGAATACAAAGTGAACTAGAGTACGGTGAGGTTTACTTTTGCTGGTGCAAACCCATTTAAAATGAGTTAATTCTGAAGTGGTCTCCTGCCATGAGAAAGCAGCCAAATGAAATGTTTGCCATGTAAATTCCCCTTCAACTCTTGACACAATCTGAGTAACCATTTCCTTCCAAGTCCTCTTCCCTCACGGCTGGTTGACAGTTATTCCCTCAAGTTGGCAGTTGGAACCAGGGTGGATAAAAATCAATGATTTTTTTAAAAATTTTTTTTTTAAAAAAATCGGTTTTTTTTAAAAAAATCAGATTCTTTTGATTTAAATTGGATTTTTAAAATAAAATGCTTTTGGAGGAAAAATCTTTCTAAAGATAGTTTTCTATTTAAGTTACGTTATAGTCCAAAGGCTATTCATCAGGAAATAAGGATTTAAGTTTTTCACATGAGCTAAAACTCAGTAGTCTTTTTTTTAATCATTTAACCACATCAGTTAACATGGATACATATGCTATAATGTTATTGTTTTAGTTAAATAAATTGTTTAAATTGTTACTAATGATTATTTTTCTCGTTCCAATAAAGTACAGCAGAAAAGTTGTGCAAATATAAACAGTTAACTTATTAAATTTCATAATTATCTGTCTATTTCTGATAGTATAACCAATTCAGTAATTTGTGATATAACTGTAAAAACTACTCTGAAAATGTATTATTCCAAAAATGATACCTTCATCTGGTTGTAAATATTAAGATTATACCAGCAAGAATGAGTCTTTCTGTAAAAAAAATGATTTAAATCAAGTCTTACTGACTAGTGATTTAAATCAAGTCTTACTGACTAGTGATTTAAATCATGATTTAAATCAAATCCACCCTGGCTGGAACTGACAGTTACTCCCTCAAGTTGGCAGTTGGAACTGACAGTTACTCCCATGAGGTGTTGTTTAGCAATGGTGGAGGAAGGGCAAGACGCCTTCTTTGAGATGTCGCTTAGCAATGGCGGTAGGGAGTTAATGAGGAAGAGATTAAAAAATAAAGAGCAAGGTCCTTTCTGCACCATACATTTAAAGCAGCATTGCACCACTTTAAACAGTCATGGCTTCCCCAAAGCATCCTGGCAACTGTAGTTTGTTAAGCATGCTGTGAGGAGACTCCTGTCAGTGGTGGAGCGTATCTAAATAGCGCCAGGGTCAGGAGAATGGGCGGCAGCATTGCCACTAATAGCCTCATCGTGCTTCAAGATTTTGTGCTCATCTAGACTTCTGCTTGTCTTGCCGCTTTCCTGCCGGAAAAAACCCACTCTTTAGCGCTGAATCAAAGCAAACGCCAATCGTTTTTTCCAGTCGTTTCTCCGATTTAGTGGTAAAGAGCAAGTTTCCCCTGGGGAAAACCTCTCAGACTGTGGTTTCTAGGCGTTGGATAAGCAGAAGCATGGATGAGCCCTCAGTCAAAGCCACCTTTTAAAGCCACCCAAGGAGACCCATATTTCATATTCCCCTCACAGGATTTGTGGCTTTGGCAATCAATTCCTCTTTCCAGGGAACTCTGGACAGCTCTTGAGCAGCTTTTATTGCAGTCCTGTGCATTTATGTTCTGGAGTAAATCTACAGTAACTGTGTTGAGTGGCCTAGTATATGTGTTTAGGATTGCAACCCCAGAATCTTTTCCCCCCTTTTAAATGCAGATTACTTCAAAATGTTTTACCACTTCACACCTTCCCCCCTCAGTCCACCTAGAACAGTTACAAAATAGTTGGTGCAACTAGGAATTGCTCTGGATAAGTGTCTAACTGTAGAATTGCTCATTAATACCAAGGGCAGATGCACTAAATGCCGTAACAAATCAGTGTCAATGTTCATTTTTGGAACTTATTTTTAGAACACATCTATGGCCTTTTTGTGACAAAGACAATTCCAGAATCACACGGTATATTCTGGTTCTTTATTTGCTGTGGTTAACTTCAGTAGCTGATTTTTAGCTCGGGTGCTTCACAAGAGAACAAAAATAAAGAAATGTTCCCTTCTCACTTTTGCCCACTGTGCTACAAAAAGTATAGTTTCAATTGTTTTCTGAGATCCTGGCTGCCGAAATCAAAATGCAGTCAACTTCTGCCTTCAGCTGTTGCCACACAGCTGTTTCACATTGCTGATTGTAATATCTCCCATTGAATTATTATGCCAAAGCCACAAATGCTGAAAATTATCCCCATTACTCCCAGTCTGATTACTATTAGGGCATCACCAATAACATGTTGTTTTTTTAAAAAGGGTTTTAAAACTAAAATTATTCTTGTTCCTTTGCGCTCAAATATTGAGTTGTCATTTTGTAGTGTGGAGCAACCTGTTGCTTTTGGTCCGCCTTTAAGAATTAGTAATGTGGTAGGTTTCTTTTTTTATGTGTAAAGTCTACAAAATCTATTTTCCTCTGTTGAACTGGACAGCGGCTTAGTCTCAGACTCGTCATTGTTGACTGACACTCTTCTGGAATGTCAGGAGCCATAATAATGTCCTTTGCAATGAAAATGCTGCTGTGTAAAGGACAGTGAGAGTGTTCTCTTATAGCCTGCTAATTGCCGGTGAACAATAGTTGTTTCCTTAATGGACCGTTAAGCAGATGTTAAACTAAAAAAAAAAAAAGCATGGGAAAAGAAACCTGAAGCCACAGCTGTCTCTAGAGGTCCCTTTGGGCATTCTTTGAACACACAGAGAAAACATCTTTGATGTCGTGGAGCTGGCTCTGCATATGTGGGAGGGGTTCTCCTTCTGGTGACTGACAGTTCTGATAATACTAGCATTGCCTATCTGTGCACCTATCTACTTCTCACTGGCGTATGTAAAGGAACACCTCCTTTAAAAATACAAACTTCCGGTGGACTTTAAAGTGGTTCTGGAGCTTCCTTCCAGGGCTGGCCCTCCCATGAGGCAGACTGAAGCAGCTGCCTTGGACGGTGGAATCCCTGGAGTCGCTTGGCAGCAGCTTCACTTCAAAGTCTTGCAATAATAATAATAATAATAATAAAATCATTTATACCCTGCCCACCTGGCTGGGCTTCCCCAGCCACTCTGGGCGGCTTCCAACAAAATATCAAAATACCGTAATACATCAAACATTAAAAGCTTCCCTAAAGAGGGCTGCCTTCAGATGTCTTCTAAATGTCAGGTGTTGTTTATCTCTTTGACATCTGGTGGGAGGGCGTTTCACAGGGCGGGTGCCACTACCGAGAAGGCCCTCTGCCTGGTTCCCTGTAACTTGGCTTCTCACAGCGAGGGAACCGCCAGAAGGCCCTCGGCGCTAGACCTCAGTGTCCGGGCAGAACAATGGGGGTGGAGACGCTCCTTCATTTAGGGCTTTAAAGGTCAGCACCAACACTTTGAATTGTGCTCGGAAACATACTGGGAGCCAATGTAGGTCTTTCAAGACTGGTGTTATGAGGTCTTGGCAGCCGCTCCCAGTCACCAGTCTAGCTGCCGCATTCTGGATTAGTTGTAGTTTCCAAGTCACCTTCAAAGGTAGCCCCACGTAGAGCGCATTGCAGTAGTCCAAGCGGGAGAGAACCAGAGCATGCACCACTCTTGCCAGGCAGCCTGCGGGCAGATAGGGTCTCAGCCTGCATACCCTGGAAAGTGAGGCTTTGGTGGGGGCGACACCTTCCTATTTCACCTCGGGTGGTGAAACGGGATGGGCCACACTTCTTTCTACTATGCAGAAGTGGGCAGCACGGGACAGTTTTGTATCAGAGATTTATGTAAGTTAAGCATCCAAGGAGAAAAAAGTTAACGGAGATTTATTACCTGCCTTGGGAAGGCTGTATTTATTTAAAGATAGAAAGGCAATATACACATGTTGTAGGTTTTTTAATACATATATATCTATCTCGTATATTTCCGCGTATAAGATGCCCCCAGGTATAAGATTCCCCCTATTTTTTGAACTCCAAATTAAGAAAACACCTCTCAGCACTACCCATGTATAAGACGAGCCCTAATTTTAAATCAATTTTTTTGGGTAAAAAAACCTAGTCTTATACATGGAAAAAAACGGTATATATAATACGTTAGTATTTGCTGATTGGATATGGTGGTCTTTAGTAGTGTTGTCCAATCTGCCCCTTGCATGCTACTTTCCACTGACATTTAACTTGTGCAAAACCTTGTTTAGGTTTCTGCAGATGCCAAACTTACGTTACTTTCCAGCATTACATGCAAACCCTTTCACATACTACCCACTGAAAACAACAGGAGGGTAATTCCATTAAAATGTCAACCTACAGACCCATTTTTCATTTTCGTATATACTGAACGTGCTCTTTATAATCTTAAAGAAAACTTTCCAAATTTCCATCTGGTAAGCAGCTTTTCAAGACGACATTTTACATACAACTTAGAATTTTTCTACTCCTCAAGTATTGATTTTTCTCTAGCAGCCCCCACTCTTTTTCTTGAAGTATATACAAGTTCCTACCAGTTTTCACTCAGATGGGTCAAGGAGGGGGAGGCCCAGACTGATGAGCCAGGCTGAACAGGTGGACTCATTTACAAATCCAAAACTTCACCTCCGGAGCCAAAGGCTTCTTACTTTGCCTCACAGGGTGACAGTACAAATGTAGAAATGTTGAAGGCAGTGTTGAACACAAAGTGTAAATGGATATTTCACATATTTAAAAATGAACACAGGGGAGGATGCCCTCGTAGGAAATATGATTATCCTGAAAGAAAAAACAGATGCTGAAGCAGTCACTGAAGTACTGGTTTCAGTTGGCAAATTTGTTATTGTTGAGTCTGAGATGGAAATTGAAAAGAAAATGGTTGACGGTATGATGATCTTGAATATGAAATCCTTGTGTTAAAAAATGGGACTCCTCTGACATTTGTCTTCCTTGCAAATGAAGATGAAGATTAGGTTGAAAAGAAACAAATAGTTTGGGCACTGCCACAGCCAAGTGCAAATTCCCAAGGGCATTACAACTTCCCACATGGACTCCGTGCAGATCTGCAATTTGTTAACACATAGTAAAGCCTTATATGCATGAGGCCTTTATTTGTGTATCTGTCAGTGAATAGTCACTTGTTGGTCACAGGTCATTTATCGGAAAACTTTCTTTCCACAGTTTCCAGTAAACATTCCTGTAACATTGACACCTGCTCATGAAACATTAGCTGTTCATGTATTTTTTGCTGCAGGCAGATATACAGGGCGAGTCCTTTAAAAGAGGCCCTGTAGATACAGAGTACACATGTTCCATGGGGCCTCTTTTAAAAGACTCACCATGTGTGTGTGTGTATACACACTTTTAGAGAATACAGTGGACCGTCGGGTTGCGAATGTGATCTGTGCGGGAGGCACGTTTGCAACCCGCAGTCTTCGCAACCTGCAGTGCCGCATCGGCACACGTGCGATTTAGCGCTTCTGCACATGTGCGACCACCGAAACCCGAAAGTAACCCGTTCTGGTACTTCTGGGTTTCGGCGGGTCCGTAACCCAAAAAAACGCAACCTGAAGCATCTGTAAGCTGAGGTATGACTGTACAGTTGTCTTAAGTTGCAGATAAATTCTCGAGGTTGCGAAAGTATTGTGTTGGCCACATCTTTCAAAACACAATAAAAATAAAGGATTTATACTTTGTTGGCATACTTATTCCTTATATTTGTAGGGAAGATCAATCCAGCTAACACACAAACAGTTTAATGTTAATTGCAGTTCAAATAAAATTAGCTAAACACACAGAATATTATGTAAAGAAGCTTATAAATGCCATTACCCAGGATTGGATAGTTCCTGAGCCTTTGCTAAACTGCTGTGGTCTTCTGGGAGATTTGCGTGAGAGAATTATACAGCACCGGGTTGTATACGCATTTGCTTCCAACTTTGCATGAGAGAGAGACAGACAGAAGGATTAAGAGTGAATCAATGTCTCAAGCTATTAAAAGTAAATAATGGAAAGATTACAGTTCTAATCGCTACAGGGAAAAAGGGCAGGCAAAACAGACAGCGGATAATCCTTTTTGGAAGCTACTAGTTCTGCCTAACTGTTCAGAGACAGACATCATTTGACGTTTTACATGCAAATTGTAATGTTGGTGGTTCTCAGACATTTTTGAGAAAAATAAAATTGGATGAGTTTTAAGCCTGCACATCGTAAGCAGCAAAAGCTTTCCGTCCTCCTTGAATGGGAAAGTTTAGTTTATCTTTTAAATTTATTTATTTTGAAAAAGTCTAAAGTGTACTTGCATCCTAAAAATAGATTTCAGGGTGGTGTTGTGGTTAAGGACAGTAGCCCCATGGTTTGCTTTGGGTTTAGTTTCCCAAGTCTTAGTTGATGCAGATTTGATTAGTCTTACAGTCTTTGATCAGTTTTGCATGTTTTATTTTTTATCTTAAAGGGTATAACAGCGTGGCATCCTATGTGGGCAGGTCCACCTGTTCATGCTTTAAATAAAACATTTGAAAGTGCAATCCTATGCATATCTGCAGAGAGGGAAGTCCCATTGAGTTCAATGTTGCTTCTGGGTAAGTGGATTTTGGATTGATTGAGAAAAAGGACAAGTTTCTGAAATAGATTGAAGAAGAAAAAATGAAACTGCATCGCTTCTGTTAGAGACAGTGGTGACCACTAACCTAGATAGACAAATCCATGATGGCAATGCAAATTCATGATGGCAAGGCTTCTGAATACCAGTTGCTGGAAACCACAACAGGGGAGAGCGCTCTTGTGCCTGAATCCTGCTTGTGAGCTTTTGACAGGCATCTGGTTGGCTACTGTGAGAACAGATGCTGGGCTAGACTGGCCATTGGCCTGATAAACAGGCTCTTCTTATGTTCTTATTGCCATTTATGTACCATATTTTCCTCCAAGGAGCTCAAGTCAGTGTACATGATTCTCCACTACCCATTTTATCTTCACAACAGCCCTGTAAGGTGTGTTAGGCTAAGAGGCAGTGACTGGCCCAAGGTCATCCATTGAACTTCATGGTTGGATGGGGAATTCGAACCCTGGCCTCCCAGATCATAGTCCAACACTCTGTCTAATGGTCCTTTTAAAGAGGATTGAATGGCTTCATGGAAACTAGTAGCCAAAATAATGAAAAATGGCATATTCAGGGGCAGTACACTCCTGATTATCAGATGCAAGATGTAAACAATCCAGAATGGCTGTTTCCATCAGGCCATGTTTGTGAATGACATAAATGGACATTCACAGGTGGCTGGCCAATATTAGAGCTAAAATGCTGGACTGGGTACCAGTTTGGTCTAAGGTGTCTTGAGGCATTTAATACTGGTGTACATTTATTCATGCTGCTGAATATTAAAATGCAGAAGAGTAAGTACTAACTCCCATATGCTGTGTTTATTGCTGCAGAAAATGCTCTGCGTTATTTCACATTCTCTACCTCTATATTGATGTTTATTGATGTCCTTCTTCCCTTCCTTATTGCGGGAAGGTCTGCTTTGTTTTAAGAGGCAGAAATTAATTTCTCGTGCCTTGTTTTTGACCCAAACAAAGGAGAAGAGGGGGTTGGGAGAGAAGAACATTTTTCTTGTGTGCTTGTGTGTGTGTTAAAGAAATAGATGGAAAACAAGTGGCTTGGAGAGCGAGAAAATATTTTGTACTACCTTCCTTGGAGCTGAGATTTCTAGTGTAGCATTCAGTTCAGTTCATCTGAATAAAGTTTGAATATTTTAGAATTTTGTATGGTTCTATATTAAACAACATTTATGCTGCATAAATTTAGAATTTCCCTCCTTTTTTCTTTGTGTGTGTGTGCAAAACTAGAGAAAATAAAACTTAATTTTGATCAGACTGATTGCTGTACTATGTGGGGGAAAACAGGAAATGAGACACACAGCCACCCAATGCCTTTGAGATGGGGAATTTTACTAGTCATACACATTGGTGCGAAACCCTATTAATTTTTCTAGGATTAGTGTTAGTGCTCTGCAAATTCTTCCCCACTCCCATTTCCACTCTAATAAATTTTTCGGTAGTTTTGTTGACCCATTGCTTTTCACGGTCAGGCTAATATTTACGGGCACTTGGGGAGGAGCACATAAACCTAAAACATGTAATATAAAATTCCCTGTGTTCCCTTCCCTGTGTTTGGCTTAAAAAAATAATTGTAATAAGTGAGAGTTGACTTTTTCAGTGTAGGCTGAAGCCCAAAAGGATTGCGCTGGAGTGCAATTACTTACCAATTTATTCACAGTTAGCCCATTTAAATTGCTTAATTTTCTCTATTGCTGTAACTTTTCCATGATTTTACACTCCTCTTCCTCCTTTCTCTTCTGCCTGTTTCACTTAATGCCTTCTTATCTACTTCCATTTATTTTTGCAAATACATGTCTTCTGTACCAATCTTTCAGGCCATTCCTAGGCCTTCATGCAACCTCCTACACTTTCAGCTGTCAAACTCCTTCCTCCTCTTTCTTTCCTTCCTAATTCCTCTTCTTCAGTCATCGGATTTCTGTAACCGCTATAGCCAATCAACGTTGCCATTCTTTGTATTCTTGTGTGCATATGTAAGCTTTCAGTGCTGTTTGGATTAGCATTGAAGACTCATTTGGCAATTCCAGCAGAATGTAATAATTTTTGATGATTGAGCTCTTCTTGGACTCTCAAGCGGAGGAAGGAAATGGTTCTGATGACATTGCTGGAACCAGTCTTGGGCATTACTCAACAGTTACATTTTCTCCCACCCTTCCTCCGAGCATCTTAGAGCTCCAATTTTATCATTGTTTTACTCCAATGAGCTACATGATTCGGTGGGGACTCATGACTCTTCACTGTCCCTTTTGGACATAATGCTAAATGAGTTTGGATTCTCCCTGAAGGAGTATTGTAGGTGTGTGGTTTGGGGGATGCTCCTTGATCCAGTTCTGTCACTGGTGGTACAGTGGTACCTCAGGTTACAGACGCTTCACATTACAGACTCTGCTAACCCAGAAATAGTACCTTGGGTTAAGAACTTTGCTTCAGGATGAAAACACTGGGAGGCCCCATTAGCTAAAGTGGTACCTCAGGTAAAGAACAGTTTCAGGTTAAGAACGGACCTCTAGAATAAATTAAATTCTTAACCCGAGGTACCACTGTACAGGTGTCCTTAGTGACTAGGGTAGAATCTACACACATATAAAAACGGTTCTGAAAATGCTTTTTTTAAAAAAGTGTTTTTAAAAATACGTTGAATTTTCCATTAGGCTCACTATCTAGTGTCACATTGTATATTGCACTTAAAACACACTTAAAATGTTTTATTTTGCAGCTGCATAGCAGCTCTATAGCTGAGTCCTAGGAGTGGCTTTTTTTCTTATTTCGGCAAGACAGTTGCGGTCCTTTCTGTATCAGGATAACTTGATCATAGTTGTTTGTGCACCAGTAACCTCATGCTCTCTATGTGGGGTTGGTTTGGAGGCTGCAAGTGGTGCAGAACATGGTGGTTAGGTTGCTTGTGGGTGTAAGCTACCACTGGGCATATAATTCCTTACTTTCAGAATTTGCACTGGCTGCCAATTTGCTACCAGGTTGAGGGTATTGGTGCTAACATAGTCTTATAATTCCCCCTGTAAGTCAAGGCCAGGTTACTTGAGAAACCGCTTTATCTCTTATAAACCCAGTAAATTGCTGCGGTCTGTAGGAGAGTTTCTCCTGCAAATTCTAAAGATCTCAGAAGCCCACTCTGCCAGAAACAGTTCACAACAGTTTTGTTCATTCAGTCTTTCCCAGCTGATTGGGCTGGGTCTTTGCCCATGAAGGTCCACTTGTCAGGGTTTTAGTCTTGTTTTAAATTTATTTGCTGTTACTGTGTTTTAACTTTTTAATTAATGTATGTGTAAATTGCCGAGAGACAGTGGTTTAGAAGGGAATTAATAAACTAATTGTGACAATAAGAAGAAACAATAAACTATGGCTTAGAAGCGTTACTATCTACACCAGAGCTTTCCAAAATTTTCATGTTGGTGACACACTTTTTAGACATGCATCATTTTGCGACACAGAAATTCCGTTTTACTTGCAAGCCGGAGGTTAAACTAACCCCTTTCCAGCCCTGGGAGGAGTGTGGGGAGCATTTGTGTGACACACCAGCACACTGCAGCCAACACACTAACGTGTCGCGACACACAGTTTGGAAAGCTCTGATCTGCACTGTTCGTCTCCTTTTCTGATACCTTTTGGCATTTACTTATTTAAGAGCACCAAAATCTCTTAAGTGGTTTACATATGTGATAAATTAAAATCACTGATAAAATCAGATGTTTTAAAACAGGTTGAACAACTCTTCCCCCAAAATATAAATAAAAGCAGCAGTGTTAACAAATATACACTATAAAATAATGTTACATATTAAAATACTGGTTAAATTTACATGTCTGGGTAGGCTTGCCTAGACAAAAAAGTTTTTACCAGGCACGGAAAACAGTGCAACAAAGAAACCTACCTACACTGAAGCGCTGGTTCATTATAAGTGTTTAACAAACATTATGTGGCTCTTGTAAAAGTGCCAGTTCTGAAGATCAAAGCATTTGAGTGGCATATAATTGGTGAATGATGGTTTATTGTTGCAGAAACAAGCCTCGTTGAGCCTTTGGTTTGCTCCTTCCTCCCCTTATGAGGAGGATTTTGGAAACTTTTGCTTCTACTTTTGCTTAACCGCACTTTAGCGTTAAGCCCAAAGCCATGGTTTATTATCCTTGCTTATTTGCCTAAACCACATTTAAGGTTAACCATACTTTGAGTTCAGTTAATTGAAAACGGAAGTGAAAACTAACAAGTTTCTGTTTGCAGCCATATTGGAAGAAGTGCACAAGCCCAAAGTTAGTGCATTTTAGCACTTAGCCATAGTTTAGCATTGTCTCCAAACCAGATTACTGGCTGTGTCTCTTAAGTGAACTAGTGCATGCAAATTGATTTGTGTGGTATAGCTGAAAGCTGCAGCTACTTTCGTTAAGTATGTATGTTGACATAAAATGTATTGTGAGGCCATTTGGGGGGCTCTTACATGAATAGATAGATCCATGTGGACTTTATATGCAGCTTCTGGCTTTTTCAGTTTTCGTTCTTCAATTCAGAACTCTTATTTTGTTGAGGCTGAAAGTGAGTTGTTGAAATACGGGAGGGGAGGAGGGGAAATCATCTGGTTTATTTCTTCAATTTTAATTAAAGTCATTTGGCTATCTTCCCCCTCTCTTCCATAATTCCACAGCATGTCCTTATTTTTCTCTTTTCTTTCCAGTCCGATCGTCCCCACGCGATTCTTACCAGGTCTGGAGTAGACTCCCTTTTTACACTCCAGGACGTATTCCAAAATTGTTTCGCTAATTCATTTAATATCATCATATCTTTTGGATATAAATTTAGGAAGTTTGTCACTCCAGTGAGGATATTGAGGCTGCTTGTGTTGAGGTGTAAGTTGGGAAGCAATAATACAATACATACCATCCTCCTTCCTTCTTCTGGGATGCCCCTTCTCCTGCCCACCATGGCTGCTCTTTTTGTCTGAAGTGTGGGGTAAAAACACTTAAAACATGGGTAGACAAACTAAGACCCGGGGGCCGGATCCGGCCCAATCGCCTTCTAAATCCGGCCCGCGGACGGTCTGGGAATCAGCTTGTTTTTACATGAGTAGAATGTGTCCTTTTATTTAAAATGCATCTCTGGGTTATTTGTAGGGCCTGCCTGGTGTTTTTACATGAGTAGAATATGTGCTTTTATTTAAAATGCATCTCTGGGTTATTTGTGGGGCATAGGAATTCGTTCATCCCCACCCCCAATATAGTCTGGCCCCCCACAAGGTCTGAGGGAAAGTGGACCGGCCCCCTGCTGAAAAAGTTTGCTGACCCCTGATAGCTTCCATACGATCTTGAAAATGCTAAAGCATTCTTACGTTTTTTGTTGCAGGAGGATTGTTCCATATGGACTGGCAAATTACAGGGGAAGTTTCAGAGGCAAAAGATCTACAGAGCGGCATCGTAAGAGCTTGCATTCATCAAAACAGCCTCCATTGCGCTGCTCTTGTGCAGACAGATGCGACAAGCAGTGTATGCACTTTTGCAGAAGGACCCAGAATGGCCAATGGTAAGATTGTTCACCTGTGACAGGGGTGAGAAGCCCTTTTTTTTTGAGGGATGCCATACTGATGGTAGGTGGGGACAGAGTTTATAGTGGATGGGGCTGTCCCCTCTCCTCTCTTGCACAGCCCCCTTTCCCTCATTTCCCCCTTCTTGCCACTCACATGAAATTAGCCCAAGGATAATGCATGTTGCACTCTCCTGTTTTATGGTATTTGTGTATCTAAAAGGAATTGAGAATAGCGTGGGTATAATTTTTCTCCCTCTCTCATATAAGAGAAACCAAATGATGCAGTAGCAACAGGAAGTAACTTTTCAGGAAGTACTTAATTCAGTGTACAGTCGTACCTTGGTTCTCGAGCAGAATGCGTTTTGGGAGTCCATTCGAAACTCCCGGAACCATTTGAAAACCAAGGCACAGATTCTGATTGGCTTCAGAAGCGTCCTGCAGCCAATCAGAAGCCGCATCAGACACTTGGCTTCTGAAAATCGTTCGAAAACTAGAACACTCACTTCCAGGTTTCGATCGCTCGAGGGCCAATTTGTTCGGGAGCCAAGGCGTTTGAGATTCAAGGTACAACTGTATAGAATTCCCTACCACAAATGTGATGATGGCCGTTAGCACTGTCCCCTTTCACATGCATCCACAGCTAGCTGCATCCTCATGGTTCAGATGGGTAAGAAAGGCCCATGCGTTATGCCACTGTTAATTCGTTTGAAATTGAGCTCAGCCAGCTCAGTTGTTTGGTGTATTCACATTCAGAAGTGTTACGGATCTCTATAATCTTAACACCTTACATGTGAGAGCTGTTGAGAATCATCTGGCTGTGACACCATTGGAAACAGAATACAGTGGTACCTTGGGTTAAGTACTTAATTCGTTCCAGAGGTCTTTTCTTAACCTGAAACTTTTCTTAACCTGAAGCACCACTTTAGTTAATGGGGCTTCCCGCTGCCGCTGCGCTGCCAGAGCACGATTTCTGTTCTCATCCTGAAGCAAAGTTCTTAACCCGAGGTACTATTTCTGGGTTAGCAGAGTCTGTAACCTGAAGCGTATGTAACTTGAAGCGTATGTAACCCGAGGTACCACTGTAGTGGACTAGATTGATCCTTGCTATGATCCTACAAGGAAACTCAGATGTTTGTAAGATAGCACAAGCAACAGAGTTTGTCCCAGATGAGTTTAGTGAATGGAAGAAACATGGAGAAGAGCCCTTAATACTTATTTGGGATGTAGCGTTGTGGAAATAGTGTCAAAAAAAGTCATGCTCACTTGTCCAGTTAACTGTTAAGCAGTGCTTGCTTTATTCTAGCATTCCTTAAAGGCAGACGCTGGAAAAGCAATGGGTATGTTTTGAACTTGTTCTTTGAAAGAGACAATCTTTGGATTATATTCAGTGCTAGTCCTACTTAGTGCAGACCCACTGAAATTAAAGAACATGTCTATTAATTTCAGTGGATCAACTCTTAGTAGGTCTAGCATTGGCTGCAACCCTTTATTTAAAAAACCTTTTAGGATAATGGTGGTTTTCAACAACAGATACAAATAATATAATAAAATACAAAGTGCAAATTAAAAACTAAAGCTAGATAAATATTTGGGATGAATAAATTGCGTGGTAATTTAAAAGCCCCAACTTTCTTTTCCATAGTAATAATGAGCAACTGAACAGCAGAGAAGAAACAGATCCCCATCGAGAAAAGGAGCATATATCTCACTCTGTAGCCCAGGAGAATTTTCAGCTTCTTCAAAGTGGAGAGGTGCAGTCTATGTTTTAATTATATTGTGCGTGTAAGTGGCTAAAACGTTTGGAGGGCAAGTTAATATTTTGATAATTGTCAAGTCTGTTAGTTTAAAGAAAAGGCCTAGAAGCAGGTAGCAGGCATGTTTCTACCTGATCATGTGCATATTTAAGGCACTTTTTAATCATCGCTGTTCTTCCAGCCAAAAAATGAAATTGGTTTGCCTTAAGGCAGAAGTGTTGTATTCAAAATGTAAAGTGTTTTCTGTTGACTCAAATGTGCAACCAAACTCAACTCAATAGCTTTGTTTGGTGCAAAACAGAAAGCATAACCTAAAATAATTATTTGGTGATTTTAGAATTTTTTAATATTGTGTTATTAATAGCAACATATAGCATTTCAGAGTGTTTGAAGTGCTTCATATACCTTATCTCAAGTAAGCCTTACAGATGCCCTATAATAAGATGGATTAGTTTTATTACTCCTATAATTGAGGTTGGAGCTGGTACTAAGAAACAGTATCTTGCTCAAAGCCACCTACTGAGTTCATGGCAGAGATAACAAGATAACATTTCAGCTGTGGCAGGGGTTTCCCACTCCACATCTTGGTCTTTTTTTGATTCAATATGACCTATGAGATAGGTTAGGCTGAAAAATTAAGACTTGATGACAGCCAGCCAGTCACACTACCTCACAACCCATCAGGGAACTGACACTGGGTTTCTGACGTGCACAGCTAACCTTCCAAACATTGCACTAGACCAGCATTTCCCAAGCTAGTGCTCAAATCATCTGGAGGGCACCAACCTGGGGAAGATGCCCCCTCCATCGCACTAATTTCACTAATCTAGCTAGGTGGACCAAGGGTAAAGGTAAAGGGACTCCTGACCATTAGGTCCAGTCGTGACCGACTCTGGGGTTGTGGCGCTCATCTCGCTTTATTGGCCGAGGGAGCCGGTGTACAGCTTCCGGGTCATGTGGCCAGCATGACTAAATAGCTTCTGGCGAACCAGAGCAGCACACGGAAACGCCGTTTACCTTCCCTCTGGAGTGGTACCTATTTATCTACTTGCACTTTGACGTGCTTTTGAACTGCTAGGTTGGCAGCAGCAATGGGAGCTCACCCCGTCGTGGGGATTCGAACCGCTGACCTTCTTGATGCGCAAGTCCTAGGCTCTGTGGTTTAACCCACAGCGCCACCTGCGTACATTACCCTAACTTCATGTCTGTGGGATTATTCCTGAATGAAGTAAGTAGAATTCCATCCAGCTGGAGACTGGGCCATATTGAAGCCCCTAGCCTACGGTCTAAGGAATATGCTGGACCCAGATATGAGAGATGTGTGTGAAGATAGTGGCAGCAATTGCAGTAGGACTTGCTGGCAGCCCATTTTGAAGATGGGCGGGGGAGGCTTGCTGCAGCACCCTCCCTTCCCTGCTCAGAGCTGACCTACTTTAAAACTAGTTGTGGACTAAGGCACTATGGTAACTGAAAGCAGTTCCTTCCATACTATGATTCTTACTCCAATTCCATTCTCTTTGCTAGAATGGCAGTTGATTTTTGTGGTAACATATGGCTAATAGTTCTCAGAAATTTAATTTTTTGCCTGTTGCCCGCACATTTCCTGGCACTGCTTGCTACATTTCTGGGTATATATTTATATTTATAAATGAAGAATTATTCTACAGCAAATGGCTCAAAAGTTGCATAAGCATTCTGTTCTTAGTTTGTTCCTGAAAAGCCCATGTCATCAATTAAAACAACAACAGCAACAAATTGGGGGAAATTGGAGCTAAGTCTTGTCTTGCAGTAACCACCAGAAATGAGCTGGATGGCTTGACAACACTTTGCTTTGCAGTATGTCCAGACACCTGGTAAATATATATTTTTCTTGAAGTCTTGTATGGAGCAGGGGTCTTGTGGGATCTGTAGCTGATCTGTGTAGACATCACATTGAGGAAAGCAGCTCTAACCACTCCACCACACAGGGTCTCAGTGCTTGTTTCATTTATTTATAAAATAACCCTTGCTTTTGGCCGTTAAAAATAATAATGGTTTCAGAATACAAAACAAAATTTCAACAGCATTTGGAAAAGCCTTTCATTGTGCATTTTTCTTCCACAGGTATGAAGTTGAGTACCTACTACCTAAGACATGAAACTCACTGAAGATGAAGTTCACTGAAGATGAAGTTCAAGACTCTCAAATGGATTATCTACCTGCAGGTGCTTCCTTTTCCTGAACTGATGCAATCTTGAAAGTGGACAATGTACCTGCCTGGAGGAAGTGTTACTGAACTGCAATGTTCTGGCTAATGTCTTGCTTGAGTCTTATACACCCCACATGATGGTGACATCCATGATGGCATCCATCAATTTTGGAAAGCAACATTTTCGCTGTTTACGGTCCCAAGAACAGCCCCCACTGGCTAAAAAAGAAAAAAAATAAAGATTCAAAGAGTGAAAAACTTTCCTATTCTGTCAAGATGCGGGACAGGAAAAAAGAATGCTTCACTTGTTTGCTTGTCATATGTTTGAATGTCCAGCTTTTCGCATGCAGTTGTCATGGGACAAGTTGGGACATTGGAACAGTACCTATATTTGATATTCTGGTCACTTTTTTTTTTTTTATAAAAGGCACCCTTTTCTCCATAATGTTGTTCAAACCTGTCTTCCTATTGTAATCTCAGTGGTGAAGAAATGTAAATTACAATATCTATGCAGATTGAATATGAATGGCTAATATTAATATAATTATAACATATAGCAAGCTAACAGTATACTGGGAGTATTTCATAGGCTATTGGATTTAGGCACCCATTATTCCTGCACTGAAATGGAATTTTACAACAGATCTACTGGATAGATGTTGAGAGAGAAGAATGCTAGTTTATCCGTCCTATTCACTCTGCTGCCCTGGGGTGAAGAAATTCTGAAACATTAAAAATGCATTTGAAGGACATTCAAAGCCATATATTAGCCCTTAATTCAAATTGCTAGAAGGGCTGGCTGGAAAAATACAGTGATGGGAACTGTTAATTGCAATTATGAAAGTTCATTTTTGAGGAACAGATGAAGCAGAAGAATTGGATGTATTTCTATACAATCAATGGATGGCCTTTTTGAATTAGTTGGGTGCATGTTAAGAAGACTGCGGAAGAACATTCACCCAGTGTTTGCTAATCAGAAAGAGGAAAAAGACATTCATTACTAATAGTTGAGAATCTTTCAAAGGATACTTTCATAAGAATGGATTTTTCTTTAAAAGTCTATTATTTTACAAGAACATAGTTCTGGAGACCACAGTTAAGACTGTAGGCTGAACTGATGAACTTTTGGGCTCATTCAGAAAACGTGCAAATCCCCAAACCAGCTATATAAAATTTGCAAAAAAAGTAACGGACATTGTTTTCAGCAAGAAAGGAAGAGATCTTTTGTCTATATTATATATATATATAGTATATATATATGAATATATTACATAAATAAATTATTCTACTTATAAAAGTAAAACACCTCTCTCCATTATCACATTTTTACTAGTTTTCTATTTTCCTGGCCCCAATTTGATGTATTTTGTTGAGATTTAGTCTATTTATTGTACTGGCAAATAGCTTTTCTTACTGTGTGTGTTTCTTTTAATTAACTCAGTGGAGAAATCAATCTTTTTCAAGGAACTAACCTTTTATTATGAGATAGATTGCTATCTGAGGTATATGTGGAAATTTTAATAACCACAGATTTCTTTTAGAAAGTCACAATATGAGTGTGCAATGTGAGCATATGAAACTGTTTTTAAAGCAGGCCCTTGTCGTACAGAATAAGGCCCAAATCCAGCTGCAGCTTTGCCTGCTTCCAATTGTAAGCAAAAGAAAAATGATGCTCTTCGTGTATTTCATGCAAATTTTATTCTATCGCTACTTTCCACAGACTCAGAAAATGCAGAAAGGTACACAAAACTTTTATCTGGCAAACCCTCAGCCCCACCCCAGTCAGTGACTTCATAGCATTTGAGTTCCTGCTGTCTCTACCCAGAAAGTCCTTCATCCTAGACAGTAACCTTATCATGGAATATAACTGTCCACTAGGCGTGTCAGTGTGGATCAAACAGTTCTGGACCTCAGACTATCATCTAGAGTCATGGTAGTCAACTCAGTGTCTTCTAGATGTTTTAGACTACAACTCCCATGAGCATTGTCCAGCATGGCTCATGGTCAGTGATTATGGGAGTTGTAGTAGCTCCTGAGAATAAGTTGATCATCTTTGACCTAAATGCTAGGCACTGGATATGTCGCTTGTGTACATACCTCTTTCAAAAAATCCAGCAGTCTTCTGGAATAGGCACATAGGAAGTTTGACACTGTTGTAAGGATACTTAGGCAGCTGAGTATTTTCTATCACAACAATTAAATCTTTTGACCATATGTAAAATGTACCAACATAATGTCCAACATTGTGGCCCCAAATTTCCCCAGTATGTGGCCTTCAACATATAAAGAAATTTATGTCATCAGGTAATGGAATTAAATACATGTCAATGGTTTAATTAGAATATCAGTTTCCCCAAGGTTCCTTACAGTCCCAAATGGTTTGATAGGGGTTCCTATAGACAATGGAAATCCATTTTCTGTAATCCAGGCGTTAATTAGTGTAGCAAAAGATCAAATTGAGCAAATATGGTGTCTCCAAGCCAGGTAATTAGTTATACTTGCATCACATAAGAAGAATGGAGACTCAAATTTAGTTGTGATTAATTTATTCTGTTAAGTTTGATGAGGCTCAATGATGAGATTAAACTGGCTCTTTATTGAGCCTAGGTAAATACAGGTCAAAACTTGCTTCAACTCCTATGGAATCTGTTTTCAATTTTAACTTGTGGATTGTAGCAAATTTCTGTGGTTTGTTTAGTTTGGCCTTGTCGGATTGCTACCCACCTCTACTTGAGTAACTTTGCAACAACATATTGCAAAATAAAAGGTTTGTGATTTACCCAGATGATATTAATCTCAATATTTTAGGCTACAAGTTCTTTGCATCACACTTGATTAAGCCTAAATTGCCAGCAGCCATGGCAACTTTCAGCTTTGGGTACAGATTCTGCTGTTGAGTGCCAAGCGCTTTTGAAGATGCCGTTATGTGGTGGTGCTGCTTCTGGGAACCTTGGCCAAATCATGGTTCTGGTACGTAAAGTCTTATTATCAATCACATAATTAAAGCCAAAACTGCAAACATTAAAAAAAAAGTTGCAAAACTTCTCTAGCGACTGTTGGGAATAAAATATGCTTTTTAAAAACAAGGTGTTATTAGCTCCTCCATAAAACGTCTAAAGTAAGCAAAAAGTTAAAATAGCCTTGTTGGTGATGTCACAGATGCTAGCCAATAGGCACTTTTTTCAGTCAGCTTTCCTTCAGTTCAAACTGATCTAAGTCCCACCCCTCACCTTCCCCGTTTCCAGAATTCACCCCAGTACATTTTTTGAAGGGTAGTGACAGAACTATCAAATTATTTCCATCCTTCTTAAAACGTTAGGCTGAGTCATAAAGAGAAATTGTAGAACTTACTATCGAACAAGGATATGCCTAGTTTTGATTCAGCCAAAAGGAATGCTAGTTTGTTAACCCTGGCTCCTGTTAAATGAGATAAATATGAAGCTGAGAAGATTTAGTCTGCATCTGAATGAGTAGCTTAGCAAGAAATTTCAAGGGATGCCATGTCTGTAGACAAACTCCAATGGTAAAAACCCACAAAGTTATTGAAACATGATTCTCTTCGTTGCTTCTGGGTTAGTGATGCTTCTGCCTGGGTAATTTATCAGCCAAGTTTCTGAAGGATGCAACACTTGCCATAATTCATTTTGTCTTGGATATGAATGGATCAAAGGCATCTGAAACAGTTCAAAGCACAGTGATTGGCTGCAGCTTTACGATTGCCATCCAACTATTTATTTGATGCAGGGAAACTAAACTAATAAAGACTCTTCCGTACCAGTAACATATTTGATTCCTTCGCAGGCTAGCCACAAACAGGCTGAAGGAAGTTCTTTTGGCTCTTCAACTGCATGATGCAGGCCTAGTGGTGCTCGTTTCAATTTGGATTTGTAGCTCTGTTGAGGGATAAACTGTAGTTCCCAGGAGTCATTGTGGGGTGGATAGGTGCTTTAAAAGGCACAATGGCCAGTATCTCACTGTAAGTGGCTGGAGGACTATTTCTTCTTTTTGCCCCAAGTGGGGAAGGGGCATATTAGAAGAAGAAGAGAAGAGTTTGGATTTGATATCCTGCCTTTCACTCCCTTTAAGGAGTCTCAAAGCGGCTAACATTCTCCTTTCCCTTCCTCCCCCACAACAAACACTCTGTGAGGTGAGTGGGGCTGAGAGACTTCAAAGAAGTATGACTGGCCCAAGGTCACCCAGCAGCTGCATGTGGAGGAGCGGAGACGCGAACCCGGTTCCCCAGATTACGAGACTACCGGTCTTAACCACTACACCACACTGGCTCTCCATATTAGTCCAAACCTCACCAGAAAGTGATCCGTCTATGACACAGAAACATAGAAAGCTGCCTTATACTGAATCTGACCCTTACTCCATCCAACTCTGTATTGTGTACATACCAACTGGCACTGGCTTTCCAGGAGTTCAGATGGGACACTCCCAGCCCAATCTGAAGATACCAAGGGTTGAACATAGGAATTTCTTAATGCAAAGCAGATGATCATCCCTCCTGGCCATTGGATTACTCCTAGTTTGTCGTGTAGTAAAAAACAGACCAAGGACATGACTATGTGTGGACCTACGATCAATGTATTGAGGCAGCCCAGTGGTTGACGCATTGCCCATGAATTACTGAGCTGGACCTGAAAAAATGACAAGCTAAAATCCCACAGTTCTCCAAACCACACTTGAAGACTGTCTCTAACACATGAGTCAGGGCAAGCGGTATCTGCCAGTCACCCAACACTTGATAACAGCCCTTCACATCTGGCACCCAGCCAGATTGGTTTCCTAGTGATTATGACGGAAACCCTGTGGTCAGTTGCGACTCCTCTGACCCTCCGATCTGGCCAAGTACCTAATAGGGCACAAGTGGCTTACCCGCTCAGGCCTCTGTAATGCATGCCAGCCCAGCCCCCTCATCCATGATCTAATCCTGGCTGAGCAATGTTTTATTATGGACCGACTCGGTATTCACCAGCAACACCACCAGACTTGAAGGGTAAGCCAGCATAACTACTCAAGGCTACCTGTAGGCTCTTGGGTGCTCTGGAGAGGGAAATAGGAACCAATTGCCTATGCTCTCCCCTCTGATGGTAAAAGTCACCCTGAGATCCCATTGTTGTTTAGTCGTTTAGTCGTGTTTGTCTCTTTGTGACCCCATGGACCAGAGCACGCCAGGCACTCCTGTCTTCCATTGCCTCCCGCAGTTTGGTCATACTCATGCTGGTAGCTTTGAGAACACTATCCAACCATCTCGTCCTCTGTCGTCCCCTTGGTCCTTGTGCCCTCCATCTTTCCCAACATCAGGGTCTTTTCCAGGGAGTCTTCTCATGAGGTGGCCAAAGTATTGGAGTCTCAGCTTCAGGATCTGTCCTTCCAGTGAGCACTCAGGGCTAATTTCCTTCAGAATGGATAGGTTTGATCTTCTTGCAGTCCATGGGACTCTCAAGAGTCTCCTCCAGCACCATAATTCAAAAGCATCAATTCTTCAGCTATCAGCCTTCTTTATGGTCCAGCTCTCACTTCCATACATCACTACTGGGAAAACCATAGCTTTAACTATACGGACCTTTGTTGGCAAGGTGATAGCTCTGCTTTTTAAGATGCTGTCTAGACATCATCTGAGATCCCGTACTCCCCATATTAACCCAGATCAAAAGGCCTGGGAAAATTACAAAGTCTTTTAGTAGTGCCGAAAGGACACCAAGGTGGGTGCCAGTTGCACCTGTCTAGGAGAGCAGAGATGAGAGAGCCTTTTCTCCAGTAACCACACCTCACTAGGATTACTAAACAAACAACACTCTTCAGATTGTAGGGTTGGAGAAGTACTTCCAAATGTAGCAGAAAACCAAACATCAAAGGGGAACTGGGTCCCTTTGGCCATTTCCCCAAATCTTGAATTCCATCCCTCTTTGAAAGGTTTTGATGCTCAGGTGTAATGCTTAGCGGGCCCGTCCCAACTGATAAGATTTTCTTAGTGCCTCCATAGTATGGGGGGAGGGGTTTGTGTGCATTTTACAGGGCAATTGCATTATCAACAGTAAAAAGCTGAGGCTAAATTGCTTGAGGATTATTTATGGAAACCTATTTCCCTGTACTTTTTATCTAGTGCCCAGAACTTGTGAGATTTGCTGTAGCCCATTAGAGGCAGTGTTAGAGCAGAACAATCAGCATTCTGAAGGAGCAGTGCAGTGCAGGCTCATTGGTCCCAGGGATCGCAAGAATCAGTGCTGCTAACAGAGTTTACTGGCCCCATATACATACATATATATATATATATATATATATATATATATATATATATAAAATAAAATCAAAGAGTTGGAAGGGACCAGGAGGGTCATGCAGTCCAGCTTCCTACAAATCAGGAATATTTTGCCCAAGGTGGGGCTCAAACCCATGACCCTAAGATTAAGAGTCCCATGCTTTATCATCCGAGCTATCTCAGATGGTAATCTCAGCAAGTAAATATCAAGGTGACAGACCCACCATTCTACTGGGGCTGGCTACAAAAAAAAATCAGGTATCTATAAGAATGAAAAGGTTGGTTAAGTAAAGGGAACTAAGGAAGAGGGTTCAATGTCTGAAAGAATGCTTGAGAGGGCCTGATCTGGTGCCCATCAGCTCATGGAATTCCCTGCCTTTAAAGCCTCCTCTCTCTGGGTTCTGAGGCTGCCCTGTGCAAAAACAAAACAAAACAAAAAACCATGAAACTCTCTGGTCCAGGAAATTTGGGTCAGAATAAAGCTCCAAAGAGTGTAATCTCAGCCACTATTAAGCTGAGTAAACTAACACAAAAGTGTTTCCTGACCAACGGAACAATGTGCCACCCCTGTGGACTTTAAAACTTCTTAATCCCTTTGTTAGAATCTGCTACGGCAGCAGTCGAGGAAAATGTTAAATACACAGAACAAGATCTGTTTCTGTAGCTACGCTGAAAAGAGAAAAGAGATTAGAAATACATCTCTCTCTATGTATGGAAAAGGTTTCTAGAACAGCAAAATCTTTCAGGATTAAGTGGTTTACAATATACCAGGCAATTTAAACAAAGAATATTGAAATTCTCTGTTTACATTATCTTGGTATTTTACTGAGCTGCTTTTTTTTTTTTTTTAAAAAAGCACTTTCTTCTAATGAAAGCTCTACTTGCAGTGTGTTTGTGTATTTGAGGGGCAGGGGAGAAGAGGAAGGGAACATATGGGTTGTCCTATATTTCCAAAGCTTCTTAAATAATAAATTGGCAACACCTAGGCCACTTTTCACACTATATAATTAAAGCACTATGGTACCACTTTAAACAGCCATAGCTTAGCCCAAAGAATTCTGGGAGCTGTAGTTTGTTAAGGGTGATGAGACATGTGGGGAGACCCCCTATTCTCCCCACAGAGCTACAATTTTCAGAGTGGTTTAACAGCCAATCCTTCTTTTGAGGGAACGCTGAGAATTGTAGCCCTGTGAGATATCCCTTCTCTATATGTGGACAGGTACTATGAAGGAGGGATGGCCCCACTGGCAGATCTACATTTGGGGATGCTCCTTCTCAACCAGCAGTGAGTTCTGGGTAACCACTGTTATCTTCTTCAGTGGGGTTATTCCATGACAGAGCACCACACCTTTACAACATCTGTGCTACTGATGGTCGAACTTTGGGATTGTAGAAATGTATACAACAAAAAATTAATCAATTTGAGTCGTGCCACTCACTAGCCCCAAAATTTCTGAGCAATGTGCACTAAAGTTGTTTCTGGGGCCCCTTTGGGATTAGGGGCCCTGAGGTTTAAGCTTTATTAGTTTCATAGTAGACTTGCCCTTGGCTGGCCTGCCCATGAGGCAGGGTGAAGCAGCTGCCTCAGGTGGCAGATTTGACTTCCAAGGAACTGCCTCCTATGTTTGTCGGTCTCCTCTTCCACCCACCACTAACGGCTCCTCTCCCTTTACTCTGCCACCAGCTTCCCTGGGTTGCTGTCAGAGGCTGGCTGGACACTGAGGTGTGGTGGCTGGATTCTGATGAGTGGGCACTAGGAGAAGTGGGGTTGGAGGCTGGCTTGGAAGAAGGGATTGGTGAACTTGGGGAACATGTAACAGTCAGGTAGACGAGGGTCAGAGACAGGAGAAACTGCAGGTTTGGAGAGTGAAGAACAGTTGCAGGAGAAGGGAAAGAGAGGTCAGGCTGGTGGAGGCTTCAACATCTCCTGCCCCAGGACCAGAAGAGGATTGAAGAGGGAGGAGCAGAAGCAGGTAATAATAATAATAATAATAATAATAATAATAATAATAATAATAATTAATTTATTTATACTCTGCCCATCTGGCTGGGCTTCCCCAGCCACTCTGGGCGCCTTTCAAAAAAACATTAAAGTACAGTAATGCATCAAACGCTAAAAGCTTCCCTAAACAGGGCTGCCTTCAGATGTCTTCTAAAAGTCTGGTTGTTCTGTTTGACATCTGGTGGGAGGGCATTCCACAGGGTGGGCGCCACCACCGAGAAGGCCCTCTGCCTGGTTCCCTGTAACTTGGCTTCTCGCAGCGAGGGAACTGCCAGAAGGCCCTCAGCGCTGGACCTCAGTGTCTGGGCAGAACGGTGGGGGTGGAGACACTCCTTCAGATATACTGGACCGAGGCCATTTAGGGCTTTAGGTTACACGTAGGTGGAGTCTTTATCTGCTTAGGATAGGGAAGATACGTAAGCTGAGGTTGGGAGCGGGGTCTCTCTGTTGCAGCAACTGCCTCATTGGGTCCACACCAAGGAGCAGCTGAGAGACACAGGACTAAGTGTGGTTACCAGATTCTTTTCAATGAATCCGGGGACCCTTTTTTTTTTTTTTTTTGGGAGGCTGAGTAGCAACAGGAGTCAGTAGTGGGGATGGTGAGGTAAAACACCCTGGGCCCAAGCACACATGCATATTGTATAAAGGTGCAAAGCCCTTCTTTCTCACCCTGTGAAACATAAATGCACAGAGATTTTTTAAAAACTGGGCAATGGCGCGCCACCCGCCCATGACTCCCTAGCCTTCCCTGATCTCCTTTCCCTTCCCCCTTCGTTTTGACAGATCAGGGGAGGCTCGGGAGTCACAGGCAGGCAGCCGTTGCCCAGGAGGGGCTAGCCTGGTAGTGCAAAAAGAACACATATGTTAACTGTTCTCTAAGGGACAGGAAGTTCCTGGTCATTTCTATTCAGTACGGTGGGATTTTATTTCATATAGTTTAGGTTCAGATTTTCATGGATCTCTCCCAACCGTCTAGAGCACGGGTGTCAAACACAAGGCCCGTGGGCCGAATCCGGCCCGCCAGACCTCGTCATGTGGCCCGTGTAGTCTGGTCTATATATATCTGTGAGGGAAGCTTGGGCTGCGGCGCGCGCAGGGCGCCTCAGGTCCCTTCTGCGCAGGCGCAGGCCTCCCCCTCCTCCAGCTACCTAGCCGAGACTTATTTGACACGGCGAGGGCGGGGTTGGATATGGGAGGCCGCTGCTGCTGCTCTCAACTTCTTTTCGGGCTCACCGGGGTGAAATAAGTCCCGGCGGGAGCGCAGTGCGCCTGCGCGAGGTGGAACGCGGAGAAGGGCAGAGCCGGCTTTGCGCGCGTTGGAGAGAGGGAGACCGAGAGCGTGCTTGTGTTTTGGGAGCGCGCCCTGTGAATACTCGGGGCGGCGTGCTTTTGCTTTGCTTTTCTTTATTTATTTCTTTAGGCGCGTTTCCGCGCTGCCCAATGAACAGCATCCTCCGCCTCTGGGGATTCGTGATTCAAAAGCAAATTCGATACACAAGTGCATGTTTTGTAAATAACGTCAGGCGCGGCTTCCGCAGGGTGCGCGTTGCAAAAATTTATATATGGAAAAAAAGCTGATAAGGAATTGGTTTATTTTTTAGGGTATTTACACATCATGCAATTTTTTCCTCAATGTTATTACAGGGTCCGGCCATCAGTTCCCGCCCTCCTCAAAGGTTTAGGGTAGGTAGCAAAGGGGAAAAAATCCAAACAAATGCTCGATTAAAATTTGGGGAATGAGAAAAATTAAAACCTGCACATCTTGTGTAACTTAAACACCAAGCCAAACAGGAAACAATTGTTATATTCATATATGTATTCAAATGAAATCAAGGTGTAGTGTTCCATGAGCCAGAAGCTCTGCATTACTTAATCCAGCTGTTAAAGGGGTCATGGGCTTTGAAGACACTCGAACTCGAACCGGCCCTTTGAGGGTGACCAAACTGCTGATGTGGCCCCCGATGAATTTGAGTTTGACACCCCTGGTCTAGAGAAATAAGGTTGCTATTATTTCAGTGGTATTAAATAAAAATTTGTATGCTCTGCCTTTAGTTGGATATATTATTGAATTTTTGTTATTCTTGTCTCCATAATAATTTGAAAACTAATAAAAGATAATTTTAAAAAAGATAATTTTGGGATGGGATTATTTTATTGTCCCGGCACAACTATTCTAAAGTAAACTCCCTGCTCCTGTATTAAGCTGTTTACACTGCTGCTTCTTTAATCAGAACTGGAAACGATCAAAATGAAAGAATAATTTGTGCAAAAAGTTCGCTAAACAATAATAAACTTGTCCCAAGATCTCAGAATGGCGCCCTGACTGAGACACTGAAAACAAAACAGAAGCCCATCCACAAGTACAATGATGGAAAATGTTCGTATAACCTTGCATCAAAACAGGGAACCAACAAAAACACCGATAAACATCAGCATTTAAATCCAGCATTTCAAGCTAAGCTATTAGTTCCACATGGAGGAGGGAGCAAATTCTACAGAGTAGCCTGTATCTGTTTCTTATAAAATATAAAGCATTTCGGGCCTTTCAGAATTTCGCCAACTCAGTATGGAATTGATTAATGAATTAGAGTCAGTTAATTACAATTGGGCTTAAAAGGCCATTTAGTCCTGAAACATCAGAACTGTTTTGCTTGATCCAGTCAAGGCCCATTAACCCAGTATTCTGCTTCCATCAGCAGCCAGCCAGAAGTTTGCAAACTGGGTACTTTTTGCCATTTTCTTGATAGAGCTAGCATATAGCCAGTTAACCTATTTTTGAGATACAGAAAGACTTGTGCTGGATTTACTTTGTCAGGCCATTTATTTTGAGGGTACATATATTGATGACCACAATATCAATTGATGGCATGGCTTTGGGAATAAGGCATTGCAGATCTTACAACACAGCTAGGACTTTCATCTGGTGTCAATGGAGTTGAATCACAATCCCACTACAAGCGAGCAACTGTTGGCTAATCAAGTGATGACATGAACCAGCTTTCAGTAAGCGGTTAAGTGGGTAAGAAACCAGCTTCTTGGAGGAGGACGGGATGGCTGGGCCAATGCCTGCCTTCAAAAAGACAAAGACTGATGAAATATACTCAGAGTTGAGAGTGGATTTCATGCTCTTTATTCAGCTCATAGTGGTGAGGAGGGAATGAAAGTCCCCTCAAAGTATCTGCT